TTTTTTTTTTTTTTTTTTTTTGGGGGGGGGGGGGGGGGGGGGGAACCCATGGGTACAGAGCAGCTTCAAAACACAAGCCCTAGCCCTACTGAAGGTGACTATGCTTCGGTCTATAGAGCCCGTCCTTATCATGATGACTACCCTAAACCCTTATTGGGTTTAGGAGGATCATATTCAGGAATATGTTGTCAGAGGGTCTTAAGAGCCATCCTAGCTATTAGTAGCACTACTGCTTCAATAATGATCATCATCTGAGACGTTGCCTCTTCTACTAGCAATCCTTAGTAGGGATCATGCTATAATCCCCACTGAGGACTGTTAGTTAGAAGGGGGAACATCCCAGATGAGCATCGTGTTGCGCTTCTCCAGTGCCCAGCCTGTGGAGAAAATCAAAGCCGCTCACAGCCTGAGACGAGCGCTGGAAAAGCCACCCCTAAACATGAAACCTCCCCAAGACCCCTAAGCACTAAAACCTTCCACCAACTCCCCCCCCCCCCCCAAATATATGTATTAAGAAACGGAATAAACATAAGCATAAAATAGCATGTAGAAAACACTTCAAATCCCAAAGCCCAGAAACATCCTAACCCTTAACCCTTAACCCTTAAACCCTAAACCCTAAACCATGAGGCACACGGCCGTTTTCTACGCGGCCGCCCTGGGTCACGAAGATGTTGTGCGAGAGTTGAACCCTGGTTTGCATGCAGGGGTTCAGGGTTTAGGGTTTAGGGTTTAGGGTTCAAGGGTTTAGGGGTTTAGGGGTTTAGGGGTTTAGGGTCAGGCAGTTTAGGGTTTAGGGGTTTAGGGCTTAGGGTTCAAGGATTTAGGGGTTTAGGGTTTAGGGTTTCGGGTTTAGGGTTTAGGGGTTCAGGGGCTCAGGGATTTAGGTTGGGATGTTCCACCTTATACTACCAGTCCTTAATAGGGACTTATGACCCCCCCCCCCCCCCCCCCCCCCCCCCGATTATAATCCCTACTAAAGACTGCTAGTTTCAGGGGAGTTGTCAAGGTTTGGGGTTTAGGGCTTACAGTACATACTCCAGAAAGTTGGAACATCCTTATCCCCATAGCTTCAAAGGTACAGCAAAGGGAATGTTCAGCTCTAATCATCCTGAAACCATGTTCCGGTTTACTGTAGGTGTTTACGGGTCTAGGGGTCTTAGGGGTTTAGGGTTTAGGGTTTGAGGCTTTGAGGGTTAAGGGGTTGAGGTCTTAGGGTGCGAACGGCCTCAGGGATGTAAGGCATTCTTGTGAGTGTGGGGTGTTTAAGGATTTCAGGTTGTTGAATCCGGGTTTCGGGGTTGCTTGAGGGCAGTGAGGGTTGGTCGGGTACATAGCTACGGCTCATGGGTTCATGTAAGGGTGGGGTCTGCGTGATTGGTTCCGGATACCCTAAACCCTGGATTCCTTTAAATTAAAGGGTAGTATAGAGATTATTCTCTTTTATGTTTTAGGGTTCTTAAGCAGAGAGTAGTAAATCCCTCTAAGCCGAGGCCTAAAGGGTGTATAGGGCCGTAATTACCTCATTCCCTACTAAGAACCAGGGGGTCTTAGGCTTGGTACATGGTCCCTAGGACCCCTTATGTACCCCTCATATACCCTCTACAACCCAAGAAGGGACCATGAACTACCCCTAAACCCTACACCCTGAACCCTAAGCCCTAAACCCTAAACCCTAAACCTTAGACCCTAAACCCTACACCCTAAACCCTAAACCCTAAACCCTAAACCCTAAACCCCAAACCCTAAACCCTAAACCCTCCATAAGGGACCACCCTTACAAAGAATGTCCAAGCACCTCGGGCCTTGCCAAGGATGCAAGCCGGCTGCGCCATGGGCAAGGCAAGATCCATCTTTCCCCCCCCCCCCCCCCGCCCAGTTAGGGTTTAAGGGTTTGAGGGTTTAGGGGTTTAGGGGTTTAGGGTTTAGGGTTGAGGGTTGAGGGTTGAGAGGTTTTGGGTTTCAGGCTTCAGGGTCCACGGTTCAGGGTTTGGGCGGAGGCCTCAGGGAGTTTGGGGTTTAGGCAACTGCTGCCGGACTGGTTTTAAGCAGAGTTGCAGGCTTGACATACCTGAAGCCAAAAGATTTCTTTAGTAGTATGGTGCCTGGGCAGTACCTGGCTCTACTCCCAATGGACCCTCTGCGCCCTCAACCCTGAACTTTGAGTTTGCCTGGCCCGGCCCTTTATTTGTCTCTCTCTCTCTCTCTCTCTCATTCTCTCTTCCTCTCCCTCTCTCTCCCCTCTCTCTCTCTCCCCCCTCTCTCTCTCTCTCTTTTTCTCACTCTCTCTTTTTCTCACTCTCTCTCTCTCTCCTTTCTTTCTCTCTATCTCTCTCTCTCTCTCTCCCTCCCTCTCTCTCTCTCTCTGTCTGCTGCTTCTCTTCCAGAGCTTATTTCGTCCTGGCTTTCAGTTTCCTCAAGCTGAGAATTTTGGTTTTGGGGGTTGGGGGGGGGGGGCAATTTATACACATATACATATATATATATATTATACATGTACATATATATATATATATGTATATACATTCAGCCGCTCATGGAGTCTGTTTCGGCAACCGTTGCGAGCCACACTGACTAGCCGAAGCCCTACATGTTGGGCCACGGAAGCCTTGGCTGGAAGCCTTAGGGTTTAGGGTTTAGGGGTTTAGGGGTTTAGGGGTTAAGGGTTTAGGGTTTAGGGTTTAGGGTTTAGGGGTTTGTAGAACCCAAGAAAATGTGGAGAAAAAACAAGTCTTGCGGCTTCAACGTTCATGCTTTGGGCATATTTGGGGCGGGCGCGGGGGGGGGGGGGTGTCTCAGGGTGCACTAGGGCTTGGGGTTCTCAAGGGACTGAGGGAGGGACCCTCAAAAGGGACCCTTTCTTAGGGATTTCGGGACTCTATACTATGTATTATATAAGGTATATGTAGGGTTTAGTTAGGGGAATAAGATTAAGGGTCCCTTCTAGGGCTCCCTCCTTTTACCCTTGAGATTCACGGCCAAGCTTACCCTCACCAGAACCTCGGGCTCAGGGCGCAGCTCCAATTCTAAAGCGTTAAGCCGAAGGCTATCAAAAAAGCTAAGCTTGAGTTCAGCAGGCCCCAGTCAGCAGGCCCCAGTCAGAAGCTACTTTAAGCTGCATAAGCCCCCAAGCCCTAAACCTCTGAAACTCAAACACTCAACTTGTCTTCAACCTTCAAGCCCTTAGCCAGAAGCTATGAACCAATAAACTCCAATAAAAGAAAAGCAAAAACAGCTGAAACCCTCAGAAATTATGGTGCCTTGCAAGGCAGAGCGGGACAGCAACCTCCCCAACCAGCTTGCCACAGAGCATGGGCCACTCGGACTGAGAGTCGTAGGATTTCGTAGGGTTTTCGGTTGAGGGTTGAGGGTTGGGGCTTAAGCGTAGGGCTTGGGCTTCATTCGGGTTGAGGGCTTCCAGGGGCTTGGGGTTTAGGATTTAGGGTTTAGGGTTGTTTAGGGTTTAGACAAGCCCATTGAACTGGTGCTTAGGGGGAGGGATGTGGATCCTCCACGTAACTACAATCCTGGGTTTAGGGTTTACGGCTTGGGGGGCTCTTTAGGTTAGGGCCCCCTTCAGCACCAGTAAGTTGTTGGCGCCAGATGCCCTAAACCCTAAACCCTAAACCCCAAACCTGGCATAAGATCCCAGGCAGCGCATGGTCCAGAGCGTTCTGGACCTTACTCAGAAAGCCGCTCGGATCTCCGGTCATTTGGGTTTTGGGGACGTTAGGGTTTCAGGAGTGCTTATCAGAACTCCGAACCCTGAACCCTACACCCTAAACCCTAAACCCTAATTAGGGTTCAGGGTTTCTCTGTGGGAACTGACAGAACCCTTAAGTCACAAACGCTGAAATCCCAGTAGCCACACTGGCACCCTTTTTCCCATATTCTCCTGGAAGCCCCTTACCCCCTAAACCCTCCTAAACTCTAAACTCCAGACCCTAACTTTGGTTTTCTGGGAAACCTCCAAGACCCCACCCTAAACCCTGAACCCTGAAGCTCAAGCTCCTTGCCCCCCCCTCCCCCCCCCCCCCCTCCCCCCCCTTCGAGTTCAACACAAACTCTGCAGCATTCCCCCCAGACTCCCTTGAAAGAACAAGACGATCTCACCCTAAACCCTAAACCTTAAACCTTAAACCCTAAACCCTAAACCCTAAACCCTAAAGCAGCCCGAGCTCCTCAACCCTAAGCCCTAACGCGTCATCCTCAGGCTGAAGCTCTGCGAGCAGCCACCCGCGCAGGTGCCATGAACCCTTTTTTTTGGGTTTAGGGTTTAGGGTTTAGGGTTTGGGGTTTAGGGTTTAGGGTTTGGGGTTTGGGGTTTAGGGTTTAGGGGTGTCTGAGGTTTTAAGTGTGTAGATGAGTATACGCGTGTAAGAAGTCTAGGGCTTAGGGTGAAGGGCTTAGGGTTGCCGGAAACCCTAAGCCCGCGAACCTGGGTTCTTTGTACTGCTCGGCGACAAGCTGAGCAGATCTGGAGAGAGACGCCCCTAAAGTCTCGACCCTAAACCCTAAACCCAAAACCCTAAACCCTAAACCCTCAACTTGCAACCCTCAACCCTGAACCCTGAACCCTACTGTTTGCAGACCATGCGTTCACTGCGGGCTTGGCCCGACGTGCTTCGGAGTGGCCGTCCCAGCTTCGCCGGGTTTAGGGTTTAGGGTTTAGGGTTTAGGGTTTAGGGTTTAGGGTTTAGGGTTTAGGGTTTAGGGTTGCCTTGAGCCGGCCTTGCCGGCCAACCTGCAGCAGCTGGAGGACATCCCTGACCCAGAGGGTCCCTTGGTAGTACGATTCTGGGATTAGGTACCCAAAAACCCTACCTCATAGGTTTTTGGGTACCTAACTCCATAGTACTACATAGCCCTAAATCATAAACTCTAAGCCCTAACCCCTAAACCCTAGACATCTTTTTTCCAGGGCCTCTCGTACTTTCGGGTAGCCGATCGTGCTGCTGTGGGCTCGGAGGGGCCCAACACCCCTAAACCCTAAAATTTTCCAAAACCCTAAACCCTGCACCCCCATTTACCTTAAACCCTCAACCCTGAACACTGATTAACTTACCCTAGTTACTCTAAACCCCAGTTACCCTAAACCCTAGACCCCAAACCCTAATTCCCCTAATTACCCTAATAACCCTAGTTACCCTAATTTCGCCCTAATTGCCCTAATTACCCTAATTACCCTAGTTACCCTAATTACCCTAATTACCCTAATTACCCTAATTACCCTAATTACCCTAATTACCCTAGTTACCCTAATTACCCTAATTACCCTAATTACCCTAAGGCCTAAACCCTATCACTCCCGAAAGGCCAGGAGCGCGTGGTGCGATGCGTCCTGGAGTTGGCGAGGGTGCGCCCATATTGGCCGGGGCTTTGGGGTTTAGGGCTTTGGGGTTTAGGGTTTAGGGTTCAGGGTTCAGGGCTTAGGTTTGGGGTGAAGGGTTTGGGATTTGGTGTTTTGGGGTTGCTTGGGATTTAGGTTTTTTCCAAGTTTCTCCGACTGGCTCTTAGTAGACAAGAGGGAGTCCAGTACCTTATATCACCCACTGCATTTTTTATATTTGCACCCTGTAAGCTATAGGGTTTAGGGTTTAGGGTTTGGGGTTTGGGGTTTGGGGTTCCTCATTCCCTCATTCGCTGCTTACCAAGGGGTTTAGGGGAGCCGAACAACAGCTACCATTCTTGCCCCTTTATATAGTTTCGATAGGCAACTACAAAATAAACTTTCCAACATACCCATCAAAGCGGCATAGGCACCTCTATCAGGGTTTGTTTGATGGTAATTAGTTCTGGACCGAGACCGTAAAACCCATGAACCCCACAAACCAGACTGTATTGCCTGGGCTGGGTTGGGGAGGGGTGAGGGGGTGAGGGCGTGAGGGGCTGAGGAGCTGAGGAGCTGAGGAGGGGGTGGGGGGTTGGGGAGGGGGATTGCAAGGGGGAAATGGCTTTTGCAGACTTTTGGGGTCTGCATGTCGTGTGGTTTTGGAGAAGTGCAAACTGCTGCTTAGGCGGAGGGTTTAGGAGCCTTCAACCCTAAGGCCTAAACCCTAAAACCTACACCCCAAGCTTCCACAGCTGACGAAGCACTCTTCAGCATCAGCCACTTGCTTGAGTGTGGACAGAGCTCCGGTTTCAACTGATGATTGAAATACAGGTTTGAGGAGTAGGTTAAGGGTTTTAGGGTTTGAGGGTGTAGGGTTCAGGGTTAAGGGTTGAGGGGTTCGTGTGTGAGAGTAGACGAAGCCTCTAAACTGACTTCAAATCGCAAGCGGTGGCTCGGCCTGCCTGGCAGGCGATGACCACCGAGAACCTTCACCAAGCAGCTCGCCAAGGACCATTGGTTTAGGGTTTAGGGTTTAGGGTTTAGGGTTTAGGGTTTAGGGTTTAGGGTTTGCGGCTAAGGGTTTATAAAGCTCAGGGAGTGGGGGTGGGGAGGGGTGAGGAGGCATGGCCAGTGGTCTGACTTTGAGTTGATTGAGTTGCAAGAACAAAGGACCCTTGTCCCCTTCATGCTAATTAGTGGGTTTAAGGTTTAGGGTTTAGGGTTTGGGTTTAGCGTTGCTCTTGGTTCAGGGTTTCGGTTTTGGCCTTTGAGCTCCCCAAAAAAAGATGGGCTTTTCCACTTCGCACCCCCGAAACCGGGGAACCCTATCTCCGGAACCCTGACCCTAAACCCTAAACAACTCTAAACCCTAAACCCCGAACTCCAACCCTCACTGGGTTCAGGGACTAGGCGTTTGGGCTTTGGGTTGAAATTCAACCATAAGACCCTCAAGGGGATCACACTTGATTTGCGATTTTACCCGTTTAGTGTTTCGGGTTTCGGGCTTAGGCATGCAGACCTTGGCGATGTTTTTGGATTTTCGGCGTGGGTTCAGGGTTTTGCTTCGAGCGTGAGGGTCGCAGTTCCATTGCTATAGACCTTGGCACGTGCAGCTGCATCCTCATCATTATTCGTGGTTTGGTGTGTAGGGTTTGGGGTTTAGGGTTTATAAGGCTTTTGTGCGCTTAGGGTTTTGGATTTAGCGTTTAGGTCTTAGGTTCTTGAAGAGGGTACGTACAGGTTGAGATCTTATGAGCCATGGGCCCTCAACTCCCTAGATCCTGAACTGCCCAAGCTCTCAAACATACTGCCTCAAACCCTCAACCGTAACCCTAAACCCTAAACCCGAACTCGAGCCCTAAACCATGACACCCGCAATTCCAACTCCAGGACAACTTGGTGTAGTCCAATGCCTGGTCGAGAATCGCGCGGACGTGAACGTCCTGGACGAGGAGCTAATGAAGGGGGTTGCCCCAGGTTCTTACTAGGGAGTTTACGAAAATAGGGGACCCCGAATGTTAAGACCCCCAAATAGTAGGATCCCCTTTTCAAATGACCCCATTAAGGTACCTCTATGATCGTAAACCCCCCATTGCAGCCGGTGGTGGTGTTTTGGGTTTGGGGCTTAGGGTTGAGTAAGGGTAGCTCCCCCCAGCGGAAACGATGTCGCACGCCGGTGGAGCATTGCATCAAGAAGCTGGGGCGTGGCAGTGATGGCATGCGGATCCATGGAGCTCATCTTGGCCGGAGACTTTCGCTGGCACTTGAGGCCACATCATGCGGCCGATGGCTTCGTGCCCCTCCATGTGCTAAAGCGGGCAGCTTTCCATGATCTGGCGGCCGACACCGGACCTCAGCCAGCAGCGCAGTCTTGTCAACCAAGATGGACGCCACAGCTGCAGAACGGCTCATCCTCTCAAAGAGGCCGATCATCCGGAAGCTTGCGCTGACGTCAGAACTTTCTTTGTGGCTTGTGCCAGTTCAGGCGTTTTGAGTGACGGGTTGGGGTTTAAAATTAAAAGGGCTTCGGCCTTGGAGGGGATTTAAGCCTTAGCTGGTAGAGCAGCCAGCCACCTTGTCCAGAGACGACCCTGCAGGACTTGTTCTTCACTGGCAGGCTCCAATAGCAGGCACCCTTCCCTTAGTGGCACGCCCCGATGACGGGACGAAAAGTGGTCAGTTTTAGGCTCGTGGCATGCAAGGTGTACTTTGGTGGGGCGGAGGGGGGGGGGGGTTACGGATTCAAGGCTGATTTAAGGTTTAGGACTTATGCTTTAGGGTTTAGGGTTTAGGGTTGATGCAGGATTTCTAAGTGCCCGTGAAACTTAGGCTGTTGTTGTGTGGAGTTGAGTTTGCTGTCTCTGTGGCACGTAGGGTTCGTTTAGTATTTTCAGGCCCCGGGAAAGACCGCAACCGACGACCAAAAATTTTGTGAATAAGCCTTGAATCACAGGAAATCCGGTCGAAAGAGCTAAGGATTTAGGGTTTAGGTTCTAGGGTTTAGGGTTTTGGGGACACATAGGGCCCATTTTCTCTCAAACCATCGACCCAACGCCGGTCTATGAGTTGTTGGGGAGTTCTACTACACCACCTACACCCTAAACCCGAAACCCTAAACCCTAAACCCTAAGCCTCTCCAGCTCTTTCGTGGGGGCTCCCTCTTCTTGGTGGCCCAGTGGTACCCTTTTCCATGTTTGTGGTTCAAGGTTCCCTTATGAAGTAAGCAAGCAAAAAAAGCGTGCCCCTACACAGTATGGTTGCTGGGCTGCCATGTCTTCATGAGGCAGTTTCCAGAATAAGCTGCAGGTGGAAACCCGGTTTAGGGTTTAGGGTTTAGGGTTTAGGGTTTAGGGTTTAGGGTTTAGGGGGGCTGTTCTAGAACGGGATCCCCGTTTGCGTACCCTGTACTGTATGAGATTTCCCTGCAAGATCTTTCCAGGCAGTCTTGGCAGGCTGTGTCTGCGTGCATCGTCTTTTCCGTTGAACATGTACAAGTATATGCGCCAAAGCCGAACCTAAACCTTAATCCCTTAAATCCTATAGAGCCCTAAATGCTCCCTGAAATCCTGAACCACAGAACCCTAAACCCCTACATAAACCCTAAAACACAGAACCCTAAACTGCCAACACCCTAAACCATCAAACCGAAACCCTAAAGCCCTAAGCCGTTAACTCTCAACCCCTAGCCCGGCTAGCCCCTCATACCCTACAACCCTTACCGCTTTAAACGCCCTAAACCCTGAACCCCTAAACCCCTAAGCCCCGAAACCTATGATCTCTTAAGCCCCCAAACCCATAAACCCTAAACCCTTCAACCCCTGAACCCTAAACCCCACAAGCCCCTAAGAGGATGGACAGGGGCCCATCCAGAGTGCGATCGCGCAACTTTGCTCTGCACTGGATTTGGGGTTTGGGCCTGTCCCTGAGGTTGGGGTTTGGCTTTTAGGGTTGGGGTTTAAGGTTCAGGGTTCAGGGTTCAGGGTTTAGGGTTTAGGGTTTAGAGTTTAGGGTTTAAGGTTTAGGGTTTAGGGTGTAGGGGACAGGGTTCAGGGTTTCGGGTTTAGGGTTTATCAAGACATCAGGGTTTTTGGTTTTGGGGTTAAGGATAGAGGGTTTAGGGTTTATCAACTCAGGGTTTTTGGTTCGGGGTCTAGGCGCTTAGAAATTTAGTGACTGGGGTTTGGCGTTTAGGGTGTCGAGCCGATAGTTGTAGGGTTTAGGATTTAGGGTTTAGGGTTTAGTAATTTAGGGTTTAGGGTTTATCAGGGCTCTGGGGTTCAAGGTGTAGGGCTTTAGGGTTACGTTTCAGGTTTGTAGGTTTTCTATGGCTTCTAGGGGTTTCTTGGGTTTCCAGGATTTCTAGAGTTTCGAGGGTTCGTTTGGGGTTGGAGAGCTCTCAAGGGCTTTTCAGGTCTTCTAGGGATCCTAGGAACCCTCTGACCATTGGAAGAAACCCTAAACCCTAAACCCTGAACCCTAAGCCCCCTAAACCCTAAGCCCTAAGCCCTAAGCCCTAAGCCCTAAACCCTAAACCCTAAACCCTTATCCCTAACCTAGGCCTAAGGTTGTCCAAGGTAGAATTTCCCAGATCAGCCCCTGAGACCCAAAGTCACAAACATGGGGGGGGGGGGGGGGGAACCTCCCAGTGTACGATTTGCTGCGATTTGCTTAAGAACTCCCAAAAAGAGAAACCCCTCATTACCCTTACAGAAAAGGATAATTTTTTTATGTTTGGGGGGTTCTTAAGTAAACAGTTGCTTGGCGGATGCCTTGAGTTACCAGTATTCGGGTTTAGGGTTCTTTCATTTTGTCCGTGTTAGGGTTTGGGGTTGAAGTTATAGGTGTTGACTGTTTAGTTCTTCTTGGTATAGGGCTGCTTCGTGTTGAAGTTTAGGGCTTAGGATGTGGGATTCAGGACCCTAAGCCCTGCAAGCCCCACACCTACGCCCGAAACCCTAAGCTCACTAAACCCCCTCTCTGTGTGTGAGTGCGGAAGTTTAAAGTTTAGGTTTTGGGGTTGCGTGGCTTTGGGCTTTCACGGCCTCCGCGCGGTGATGAGGCAGGGCCATGCCCACATCGTGCGCTACCTGTGGGAGACCGGCAAGGCATCCCGCAAGCGCGTTGAAGTTTAGGGTGAAGGGTTTAGGGTTTAGGGTTTAGACCCTAAACCCTAATCCCGAATCCCTATACGCCCTAAACCATCCCTGTTATTAACCGTAAACCCTACATGTTAATCCCTATACACCCTCAACCCGAACCCCTGTACGCCCTACACCCCAAACCCTAAACCCTGCACACCCTAAAGCCTAAACCGTACACGCCCTAAACCCTAAACACCCTAAGCTCTGCACGCCCTACACCCTATACACCCTAAACGCTAAACCCTAAACCCCTCCTTTCCTTCGCCGGGCTTTTCGGCCTAAGTGCAGCTTACAGGTGGCCCTTCCGCGGCGCGGCGAGGCCTCATGTGCCCCGGACTGCCGTGCATGGTTTAGAGTTTAGGGTTTAGGGTTTAAGGTTTAGGGTTTAGGGTTTAGGGTTTAGGGTTCAGGGTTTGGGGTTTAGGGTTTAGGGTGTAGGGTGTTTAGGGTTTAGGGTTGAAGGTGTTTAGGGTTTGGGGTTGAGGGTGTTGAGGGTGTTGAGGGTGTTGAGGGTGTGAGGATTTTTTGGGTTTGGGGGGTCCAGGGTTTAGGGTTTAGGGTAATCTACGCCCTAACCCTAAACCCTAAACCCTAAACCCTAAACCCCCAGCCGGGTCCAGGGTTCAGGGTTTAGAGATTAGGGGGTTCGGGGTTCCGGAGAGACGTTAGGCTTTAGAGTTTTGGTTTCAGGGATTCGGGCATCCATGGATCCAGTGTGTTCTACTGTGTGTTAGGGGTTAGGATTCAGGGTTTAGGGTTTGAGGTTTAGGGGTCTAGGGTTAGGGTTTAGGGCTTTGGGTTGAGGGTCTAGGGCTTAGGGTTTAGGGTTTAGGGTTTAGGGTTCAGGGTTCAGGGTTTGGGGACATGATTCCGGCAAGCCGAAGACCAACCCCATGACTTAGGCTCTTGGGTTTAGGCGACTATAGGATTGACGTCAACAGTCTTCCACTTTGCTTTTGTTGGTTTAGGGTTCAGGGTTCAGGGTTCAGGGTTCAGGGTTCAGGGTCTAGGGTTTAGGGTTTAGGGTTTAGGGTTTAGGGTTTAGGGTTTAGGGTTTAGGGTGTAGGGTTTGATTAAGTTATCCAACCCCTGTTGTAGCCTACAAGTCTGGTATTATACGTTCTGAAGGCAGAGTTTGGGGTCTAAGGTTCCGGTCCTTACTTAGGGCTTACCGACCCTCTGAACGCCTGGCCAGCCTCATGGCAGCCCAGCTGCCTAAGCTTGCTAGGCTCGGGTTTAGGGTTTAGGGTTTAGGGTTTAGGGTTTAGGGTTTAGGGAACAAGTATAGGCCTGATTTTGGGAGAATCTAAAAGAACACTCAACATCTGACATTGCCTCCCGTGCGCTTCTTCGTTTGCGAGTTTCGAAGCAAGATCGCATGTCGTCGTTTGTGTTGCACGTGTGAGGTTAGGGTTTAGGGTTTAGGGCTTAGGGCTTAGGGCTCAGGGTTTAGGGTTTAGGGTTTAGGGTTTAGGGTTGAGGGTTTAGGGTGTAGGGTGTAGGGTTTTTGGGTTTAGGGCCCTGAAGCGCCTGGGAGCAACCCAACATGAAGGCCCCAGCTTAAGGGCCCCCCCCCCCCCCCCCCCCTTTCAACCCTAGACTTAGGACTCCCGTTCTTCTGAACATCGCAGTCACTTACGCCGCTAAGATTGTTCCTGCTTCAACCCTAAACCCTAAACCCATCTACTTCTCAACCCTTGACCTACCCAGGCCTCGGCCCAGACGAGAGACGCCTGCAGGCCGATCCTGGGGGCTTTCCGTGTTTGGGCTTTTGGAAGCTACAACCCTAAGCCCTAAAGCCCTAAAGCCCTAAACTCCTGAACCCCTAAACCCCTAAACCCCTAAACCCCTAAACCCCTAAACCCCTAAACCCCTAAACCCCTAAACCCCTAAACCCCTAAAACCCCTAAAACCCCTAAAACCCCTAAACCCCTAAACCCCTAAAACCCTAAAACCCCTAAACCCCTAAACCCCTAAACCCCTAAACCCCTAAACCCTAACCCTACTTCAGAACCTTAAACCTTAAACCCGATACCCCGAAGCCCCGAACCCGACAAACCCCTAAGCCCTAAACCCTACACCCCTAAACCCTAAAACCCTAAGCCTTAAACCCTACACACCTGAACCCTAAATCCGAAAACCCAAAACCCTAAGCCCTGAACCCCCCCAAGCCCTAAACCCTACATCCCTGAACACCCCAAGCCCTAAACCCACACCCCTAAAACCCCAAAACCCGAAACCCCAAACCTTAAAACCCTACTACTCCCCTAAACCCCCAGAATCCTAAACCCTAAACCCTAAACCCTAAACCCTAAACCCTAAACCCTAAACCCTAAACCCTAAACCCTAAACCCTAAACTTGCGACTTTCTGGAGGACCTCGGCTCGCTGATGCGGACGGCGATCGACGCGCGGAGTACGGAGGCTGCGGACACTCAATAGGGTTTAGGGTTCAGGGTTTAGGGTTTAGGGTTTAGGGTTTAGGGTTTAGGGTTAAGGGTTTACGGTTCAGGGTTTGGGTTTACGGTGTAGGGTTTAGGGTTTGGGGGGGATTTAGGGTTAGGGTTTTTAGGGTTTTGGGTATGGGGGTTTCGGGTCTGGGGTCAGGGTTTTACGATTCGGGGGTTTAGGGTTTAGGGTGTAAGGTTTGAGGGCATTTTAGAGTTTTAGTGTTTACGGGGTTTAGGGTTTAGGGGTTTAGAGGGCGGGTTTGCGGCTTCAGGGTACTTTTCAGGCTTCGAGTCTAGGGGTTTTGTAGCTAGGATGCCCAGTAGTGCCCTTATTCCCTTCTCACAAACGCAACCACTCGAAAGTGACATGTTGCGCTTCATTCTTTCTCTCAGATGCACACTTCACCAGGTGGCACTGGTGCGCAAGCTGGTTCCCCAGCGGTTTGATGAGCATTTCTCAAACATTGTCCGCCTGGCTCACCTCTTCGAATTGCACTCTTTCCGACAGGATTTCAAGACAGCTCTGGTTAGAGTCGTGCTAGACAATTTCAAGTTTGTGGAGGTGCCCGAGCTGCCACCTGAGTCAGAGTTGTGGCGAGTGGAACGGAGGGCAGCAGCATCACTGCTGGAGAATCAAGCCAAATACAGCCGCACGCGCCGCTCCCTTCATGAATTGTTGCTGACGTGGGACAACGGGAACTGCTCTCTGGATTCGATAGTGCACTACTGCACGGGCAATTGTTGCGTTGGAGCGTGTGCAAGTGAGAGAGAGGAATATGCAAACTTGCAAGTTTGCAAGCTGCTGTACCTCCTCTTTGGAAAAGGCTACCCGGTGCCGCTGTTGTACAGGTGGCTTCATGTTCAGCGTGCGTTGAGGTTCCCTATATATAAACCCCTGTAAGCAAAAAGGGCACCCTTTTTTGTATCCTAGGTACCCTAAACCCTAAACCCCTGAATCCCCTAACCCCTAAACCCCAACCTTAGATGGAGTCTTAGGGAGTCATGTAGGGCTTTAGGGGTTTAGGGTCGCACCCTAAACCTTAAAACCCTAACCTTGAGATATCCTCACTTATACTCGCAGTCCTCGATACGGATTGTAATGGGGGGGGCGGGAGGGGGTTGGGGGGGAAATCTAATCCCTATTTAAGGACTGCGAGTATAAGAGGGAACATCCCAGCTCGAAACCCAAAAACCTTAATCCACTGGAATTTAGGGGGGTGACATGTGAGAGCTTGGTGCTTAGAAGCTTGAGGTTCACGACTTTCGGGCTTTCGGTTTAGGGCATAGGGGGGTTAGGGTTTGTGGGCTTAAGGTTCAGGGTCTTTGGGGTTTTAGGATTTGTTCGGCTGGGTCCGAGGCTAGGGTTCTTTTTCGGGGTGTGGGTTTCAGAGTCTCGGGCGTTAGCTGTTTTGGACTTGGGGCTTTAACGGGTTTAGGGTTTTTCGGCGCTTTAGGGGCTTGAGAGCTTGAGGAGCCACATCACCCAGTACCCTTTGGCACTCCAAACGCTCCAAGCCGTAAACTCTACACCCCAAACCCTAAACTCTAAACCCTCCACCCTGAACCCTACCCTAGAGCTTAAACCCCTGACCCCAAACCCATGAAGCCTGAACACTTTACTAAACTCAAAACCCTAAGCCCCAAACCCTAGGTCCTAGGTACAGTGCGGCTTCGTAGGCTTTGAGGGTAAGTTGTTTCTCGAGTCTTGTCTTTTTTTCGGTGTGTTGCATTGTGGGGGTCTTCAGGGCTTTGGTTTTTTTTGGGTGGTTTTAGGGCTTTTAGGGCTTTCAGGGTTTCAGGGCTTTAGGAACCACGTCGCTCCCAAGCCCTTCGTCCCCTCCCCAGGCTCCGAGCCTTAAGCTCTAAGCCCTAAACCCTGAACCCTGAGCCCTAGGCTCTAAACCAGAACCAAGAACTTCAGGAGCTCCTAAAGCCTAAGCCCCCTTTCGTAGCCCTAAACCCTAAACCCTACACCCTAAACCCTCAACCCTAAACCCCATTCCTAGCTTACTCTTGGGGTTCTAGGAGAGCCCCACGAGCCATGCCCGTGAGGTGGCCAAGTCCCTGCTCGAGGTGAACGGGGATGTGACCCTGGGCCTGAAAGGGTTTAGGGTTTAGGGTTTGGGGTTCAGCATCTCAAGTTCGAGCATTTACTAGGCCAGCAGTGTGTTCAGGCAACGGAAAAAAACCCACCCGCCCAAAGAATCCCATAACATTAAGAAAATAAAAGGTTTTCTTCCTACTCCAAAGAGTTTTACCTACCCAAGTCAGAAACGTTTTCAACAACATTAGGAAAAATATCCAACCTCCTTCTTCTCTAGGCACGTGGTCAACAGAATGGATTTGTTAACCACATGTTTCTGTTTCGAGCGGACAAGAAAACCAAACGTGGTCAACAGAATGGATTAGTTAACCACATGTTTCTGTTTGAAAAACCAAACGTGGTCAACAGAATGGATTTGTTAACCGCACGTTTCTGTTTCAAGCGGACAAGAAAACCAAACGTGGTCAACAGAATGGATCTGTTTATCACATTTGGAAGCCATCTTTCAGGGGCCTCAAAAACAGGCGCGGTCATTCGGGCACTTATTCTTTGGAAGCCATTGACTCGTTTGAGGGGCTTCAGGGGCCTCAAAAACAGGCGCGGTCATTCAGAAACTTATTCTTTGGAAGCCATCTTGACAAGCGGGCTTCCCCACCCCACCCTTTGATCCACTTCATTGTCGAGGGAGGGGGGGGTGGGGGGGGGTGGGGGGGGGGGGGGGGGTGGGGGGGGTGGGGGGGGGGGGGGGGGTTGGGGGGGGGGGGGGGTGGGGGGGGTGGGGGGGGGGGGGGGGGGGTGGGGGGGGGGGGGGGTAACTGGGCAAGGTCGCCGGTTTACTGGGCAAGGTCAGTTCGGTCAAAAAATCGACCTTGAGTAAAACGGCGACCTTGCCCAGTAAAACGGCGACCTTGCCCAGTAAAACGGCGACCTTCCGCCCCTGCCCAGTAAAAATGCGACCTTGGACCCCGAAGGTCGCCGTTTTACTGGGCAAGGTCGCCGTTTTACTGGGCAAGGTCGCCGTTTTACTGGGCAAGGTCGCCGTTTTACTGGGCAAGGTCGCCGTTTTACTGGGCAAGGTCAGTTCGGTCAAAAAAATCGACCTTGCCCAGTAAAATGGCGACCTTGCCCAGTAAAACGGCGACCTTCCGCCCCTGCCCAGTAAAAATGCGACCTTGGAACCCGAAGGTCGCCGTTTTTCCTGGGCAAGGTCGCCGTTTTACTGGGCAAGGTCAATTTTTTTAACCGAACTGACCTTGCCCAGTAAAACGGCGACCTTGCCGAGTAAAACGGCGACCTTGCCCAGTAAAACGGCGACCTTGCCCAGTAACTCCTTAACATTTAAATTATATATGAAAGAGAGGTTTAGGGTTTAGGGTTTAGGGTTTAGGGTTTAGGGTTTAGGGTTTAGGGTTTAGAGCGCTTGGGCTCTTGGGCTCTTGGGCTTTGGGATTGGGCTGTATGGGTCTTGAGTCACAGGGCATCACACCGCATGATGCTTTAATCCCCCCAGGTTACTGGACGGTTAAGGTCTGGGGTAATATCATAGGGTTTGTGGGCTTGGGGTTGGGTTGCGGGCTTGGTGATGGTGAGGTTTGAGTAGTTTTCGGGGTTGGGTTTGGGTGTTTTTTGTAGGGTGCGGCCTGAAAGAATCTCATAGACTATACAAAACCCAAAACCCTAAGCAGCAGGTGTTTCGGTAAGACACCATCCACTAACATAAGACCCTAGAATCTAATTACACGGATGGCTTGGGGACCACCTTGTGTAACATTCCATGTCGAGTTTAGGGTTTAGGGTTTAGGCTTCAGAAGTTTCTAAGACCAGAAATCCTACAATTCGTCTTGCGGCCTTAGGGCACCTTGTATCAAGGGTTTACGCAGAGCAACTTTTGCCCAGGATACCTCCGCATGACCAATTAGATAGCGAAGGGCGCCAGCATGTTTCGCTATGGCAGCCCGGTGCAAGTTCCTTAGCTACCTGAACCCTAAACCCTAAACCTAGAAGCGACACCTCCGAGCTACCACCGTAAGCGTCCTGGCTATTCAACCTAAGCCCTAAACCCTAAACCCTAAACCGCTCAGGAACTATCCGGAGGCCGACAGTGGACTCACTCCACTTCACATTGCCGCCGGTTCGGGGCAGCTGGCCCTGGCAGGGTTGGGTTGAGGGTTCTAGGGTTTAGGGCTTTAGATGTTGGGGTTTAGTTTTTTCAGGGTTTACGGTTTGGGGGTTTAGGGTTTCGGGTTTAGGGTTTGATTAGGGCTTTAAGTCTTGCCAGGATTTAGGCCTTTACAGTAGGGGGTTTGGGGCGCCGCTGTACCTGGTCAAGGGTTTAGGGTTTAGGGCACCGCAAGAAAAGGTCCTCTCCCCTTCAAAAATGAACCACATAGGAGGGGACCCGGTCGGTTTTGTCGGTTCAAAGGGGAGGCTCCAAGAGCAGTGGAGGCTCACTTGGGGTTTAGGGTTTAGGGTTTGTGGCAAAGCCTTGGGAAGTGTCTTGCGAAAGTCCAGACACTCAACCCTCAACCCTTACACCCTAAAGAACCCATGACCTACTTGAGCTTGTGGGGGGGGCCATAGCAGATTAGCAGTGTAGGGTTTAGGGTTTAGAGTTTAGGGTTTAGGGTTTAGGGTTTAGGGTTTAGGGTTTAGGGTAAACCCGAAAGGCTGCACCCTTTCGGGATTTAGGGTCTAGGCTTCAGGGTTTCGGGTGCAGGGGCCGGCCCACTCAGAGTCTAGCAGTCCAAGCTACAGGCATGTCGAGATGGTCCAGCTCCTTGGCCGCTTTGAGTTGTGCCGGGCAACGAGCCCGATGCTATGGAAGTCAGCGTTTAGGGTAAAGGGAGTTAGGGTTTAAACCCTGAACCCTGAACCCTAAACCCTAAACCCTAAAACCCTAGGGAGTTCACCTGTTATAGGGGTCTAGGGATTAGGGTTCTAGGACCTAGAGTGGGCTCTTATTCCCTTGTTTAGGGTTTCGGTTCCCGTCTAAGCCCCTCTAAACAAAAAAAGTGCACCCTTCTTGTTCCTAGGTTGCTCTGAGGGTGAGGGGGTTGAGGTCATGGGGTTTATGCAGTTTACCCGTTTTCCGGGGACTTCGGGTCTTAGGTGTTTCGGGGATTCGGGTTGGAGGGTTTTTACGGGGGTTGAGGGTTTGGGCCTTTACGGCTTCGTTTTAGGGGTGCACGGTTTCGGAGTTTAGGGTTTGGGGCTTATGAGCTTCAGTCTAACAATATATGGTAGTGGGTTCCCATGAAGGGTCTCTCCTCAATTAAGGACTCTACCTTAAATCATATTAGGGATCCTAATTATAATTTTCAGGTATATTCCTTCATTAAGGGATATTGGAGTCTCTGGCCCCCCACCCCCCCCCACCCCCTTTCCCGCAGCGCCCTCCAAACCCTTCAAGCTGGCAGCTCGTCAGTGACATCTGAAGCTTGACCACAGCAAAACCTGAGGGTTTAGGGATTAGGGATTCCGGTTTAGGGTTTAGGGTTTAGGGTTAGGGTTTAGGGTTCAGGGTTTAGGGTTTAGGGTTTAGGGCTAAGCCCTACTACACCCTAAACCCAAAAACTCTTCGTGGGGTCCTCCCTTGCACGCAGGTGCCTGCTGGCCGCACGCGCTGCCACCGACGCGGTGGACAAGGGCGGCGACACTGCGCTGGCCCCCTGAGTTTTCAGAAAAGGGTTTAGGGTTCAGGGTTCAGGGTTCAGGGTTCAGGGTTCAGGGTTTAGGGTTTAGGGTTTAGGGTTTAGGGTTTAGGGTTTAGGGTTTAGGGTTTAGGGTTTAGGGTTTAGGGTTCAGGGTTTAGGGTTTAGGGTTTAGGGTTTAGGGCCAGTTTAGGGTTTTGGTTTTTAGGGTTTAGGGTCTAGGGTTTAGGGTTTTGTCTCCTGGAGTGTTAGGTTCTTGGGGATTTTCGGTGGGTTTAGGACTTAGGGTTTAGGGTCTGGGCCTTCTAACATCGCTTGATAGTCCCCTGAATCGTCAAAACCTGCACCCTAAACTCTGAACCCGAAGCCCTAAACCCTAAACCCCATACCCTAAGTAAGCCCTAACACTTCCAGACCCTAAACCCTATACCCTAAACCCTAAACCCTAAACCCTAAACCCTAAAACCTAAACCCTAAACCCTAAACCCTAAACCCTAAACCTCCATTCTGGTGCTCCTTGTGGGGGCCTCGGACAGCTCCATGCACCGTCTTTACCTCCCAACAGCCCGGACTTGGGGGTTTGGCGGGGAGGTTAAGTTCCAGGGCTTCGGGAAGTCCAGGGTTTCGGGGGTTTGGGATTTTCCCTAAACCGCGAACCCTAAACCCCTAAACCCCTGCAGGGGCGGCTGTTTTCAGTGATCGGAAAAAACATTTCTTGGATGAGGCCTCAACGTTGTGTATGCATTGTGGAGAGGTTGATAGCCAGTTGCACCGACTCAAATTCTGCTCTTTCTATAGTCGTGCACGAGATGATTTGCCCGTAGGTTTTTTTGATGACTTGTCGCTTCCTGTTTTAACTAGAGGCTTGTGGCCTACACCGCAAGTTTTAACTGAACTTCAAGACAAGTTGGATTTAGTTGCTACGCCAGATTTGCGTGAACTTTTTGACCAACATGTGTGCTTTTTTACTGACGGCTCCACCTATTCTGAAAGCCATGTTGTGCAGAGCGCGTGGGCTGTGATCCTTGCTGAGCCGCAATCCCAAGTGAATAAAATTGCCAGTAAGGGAGCGCTGCCTGGATACCAATCCAATTTCCGTGCTGAACTGTACGCAGTTTTCGTCGCTGTGCAGAAAGCTGTGTCGGCCGACATCTTCTGTGACAATCTGGCGGTGGTAAATGGGTTTAATCGGTTACTTAGGACGGGGTGGGCTCATTCTTGGTGGGTTAAAACTGCTGAACCGGAGCTGTGGTTCGAAGTTGCTGAAGTGCTCAAACGCAAACCTGGCCCCTGGCGAATACACCATGTTAAATCCCATCGGGATCCCCGCCTATGTACTACGCAGTATGACATGTGGACTGCCTGCCACAACAATGCTGCCGATGAGGCGGCAAAAAGCGCGCATGTGCAAGATGCAGCTACACTTTCATTACTTCAAAAGGCACGGCGGACCTTGACGGAGCAAATCCTCCAAGCAAAACTGGTTTTCCAGTTGCAAGAGCACATCCTGTGCAGTGCAACCCTCAACTCAAAAAGCCCCAGCATGCCAGCCAGGCAAGAACAATCCAGGTGTGAAGTGCCTGCTTGTCCTCCATTGCTGCCGGCATCCCCCTTTTCGGTTCAGGGCTTAGGTGGGGTTGAAGTGTCTTGCGCTTTGCTTGGACCTCGGTTCTGCCAGGTTTTCCGTGAGTACTGTTTGGAGCAGTCTTGGTGCAAAACCGAATCTTGGGTTAGTCTCTTAGAGCTCTATTTGCATTTTGTGAGGGTTACTGGTTGGTTATCCCCAGTGAACGTGGCCAGCTGGAAGCCTCAACAACTGCCTCTTGGGCTGGTCGCTGACGTACCCGCTTGTTTTGTGCATGAAACGGAGTATCCCCAGCTGAAAATGTGCAGACCTTTGCTTTCCAAGCAGCTAAATGTGTTTGGAAGCATCGTACGGTTCATGTTCAAAGAAGCTGCCATTGATTTCCCAATGTCCCGGACCAAGTCCCTTGCTCATTGGGGTGTTAACGAAGAGGTCCCGTCGATTTGCATTGCCCCTTGTACAGTGCGGGCTGATGCCGGGAAGCTGTCAGATATTTTTTGGGCACACAGACGGTACAGTCGGGCGCTGGCTATTCCCTTTCAGCCTCCCCGAGATCCTGTTGATTGTCCAACACCTTTTGTTAGTCCCAAGGTCACGTGGGCTCGGTATTACGCTCGGCGTAGACTGGCCCGTAATTCATAATTAACTCAACGAGGAGAGAGCTTGGAGCAGGGATCCGTGCGTCTGTCTCGCCTGGATCGTCCGACGACCGCTTCATAAACCCCTGAACCCCTAAACCCCTAAACCCCTCAACCCTGAACCCTGAACCCTGAACCCTAGCTCTAAACCCTAAACCCTAAACCGCCTCCTCCCATGACCTCTGGCCGCAGACCCCTCAGGTGCGAGCCGCGAAGCTCCAGCAGGGAGAGGTGGTGTCGCTTGGCCCAAGGTTTGGCACGTTTGAGGTTTCTTGGGGTTCGGGTTTAGGGGTTTTTGTGGTTTAGGGTTGGGTTACGGGCTTTTAGGGTTGAGGGTTTAAGGGTGCAGGGATTAGGGTTGCGGGTTTTGGGGTTGAGGGTTTAGGGATCTAGGGGTTTAGGGTTTAGGATTTAGGGCTTTTGGTTTAGATGTAGGGTTTAGCTATTAGCGGGCGTGAGGTTTAGGGATCAGGGATATAGGGCTTCAGGGGTTAAAAAAAAATGCCTAGCTCGCAAATTCCAAAGGCAAAATATACGCATCGCCAGTTTCGCTGTTGTCCGCTTTCTAAAAGCCACTTTCAGTTTCGGAAGTCCTGACGCGTCTGCCCCGCAAGAGAGGTCTGAAGAACCTAGGGTTTAGGGTTTAGGGTTTAGGGTTTAGGGTTTAGGGTTTAGGGTTTAGGGGGTAGAGGATTCAAGGAACTTAGCGCCTGATAGTCGAATTCCTTCGTAAGAATCAGCAGCATGGCTTGGGAGTCGAGTCGAATTGAACTGGGGTGCTGCGTTTCGTCGCGGACGTGAGGTTTAGGGCTTTGAAACCCTCAAGCCCTAAACCCTCAACCCTAAACCCTAAACCCTCAACCCTAAACCCTAAACCCTAAACCCTAAACCCCCGAAGCCCTCGGTGAATCAGAGCGCAGGTGGTGCCTTGCGGAGGCCGAGTGTCCCGATTTTACGAGCTGCCTGGACGGAGACTTCTCCTTTTCAATAGGCATCCCTAAACCCTAGCCCTAGACCCTAAACCCTGAACCCTGAACCCTAAACCCTAAACCCTAAACCCTAAACCTAAACCCTAAGCCCAAAACCCGAAACCCTATTTCCAGAATTCAAGCTGAGGATTTACTGAGACGCCCGGACGATGATTTTTCGCATTGTTGGGTGTTGCCCAGAGTGACCCTCAGTTTAGGGTTTAGGGTTTAGGGTTTAGAGTTTAGGGTTCGGCCAGATTAGCAGAATGAGATGACTTGAAGTGTTGGGGCTCAGCCGTGTGCAGTGCTGACGGTTTTGAAGGTCTGTCGCAGTTTTGCTGTTCCAAGATCTGGGTTTGCGAGGAGGTGACGAGGTTTAAGGTTTAGGGTTTAAGGTTTAGGGTTTAGGGTTTAGGGTTTAGGGTTTAGGGCATAAAGGCCCACGACTTGTGCTGGCATCTTCCCAAATGGGCCAAACTAGACGATGAGCGGCAACGTAGATGTGGGCAGAGAATGTGAAGCGGCAAAGCTCTGATCCCTAAACCCTAAACCCTAATCCCTAAACCCTAAACCCTAAACCCTAAACCCCTGTTCAGGCTCAGAACTCGGGTGTAGGGTTGAGAGGCCGACTGCCCAGCATACTTCAAGGGAGTCATACTCGGATCCCTATAAGGATGTCCTCCTAAGAGATTTTAGAGGGTTTAGGGTTTGGGTTGAGGGTTTAAGGTTTAGGGTTTAGGGTTTAGGGTTTAGAATACTCCTGACATGGCCCTTGCATTCCCTCAGAGGATCTTGAAAAAGGGTCCCCAAACCCACAGGTGCAACCTTTGGGATCCATTCAAAGCTCCCCAACTCAACTAGGGTGTAGGGTTTAGGGTTTAGGGCTTAGGGTTTAGGGTTTAGGGTTTAGGGTTCAGGGTTCAGGGTTTAGGGTTTCGGGTTTAGGGTTTAGGGTTTAGGGTTTAGGGTAACCCTGAAAGAAGCTGAGGCCTGGAGGGTTCGCCCCTGCAAATGGCCTGTCGCCAGGGTTGCCCGGAGGTGGTGGAGTGCGCCTTTGACAATTGCTCATGTATTTTGTTTTGGGTTTTGTTGGGGAAGTTTAGGGTTTAGGGTTTAGGGTTTAGGGTTTAGAGATGTTGTTATCGGAGGTTTCGCTTTCGGGCCAAGGGGCATTTGGCAAGGGCTGATACCCTCAAACAATGTAGGTAATTCGGCATCCTACACCCCCAAACTGTCTGCCCTAAACCCTAAACCCTAAACCCTAAACCCTAAACCCTAAACCATGTCGATACCGGGGCCTGTCGAGACTTTACGGTTCGACACCAGCTTGGGCTCGATGTCGGTTTTTGTTGTTTGACAAGTCCAAGCCCCCATGGCTCAAGCCACCATCATACCCTCAACCCCTACCTCAGTCAAATCTGAAAAATCTTTTACACCCTACAAAGTGTAAACCCTACACCCTCGGCCCTAAACCCTAAACCCCAAAACCTCCCACCCTAGGATTTGGGAAGCTTAGGGTTTAGGGTTTAGGGTTTAGGGATTAGGGTTTAGGGTTTAGGTTTTAGGGTTTAGGGTTTAGGGTTTAGGGTCATGGCCCTCAACCCTCCCCCTGACCAGCCCCGATCCCAAAACCGAGGTCTTCTGTGGCTGGGCGTTGACAAGGCCAAAGCCACCGAGAAGGTCCGGGCCGGTTGTGGGGTTTATGCAGGGTTTAGGGTTTAGGGTTTAGGGTTTAGGGTTTAGGGTCTCCAACACATGCCACACGCGGCCCTGAACCCTAACTCTACACCTCCAGACCCAGAACCCTATAAAACCCACTCACATTTACCTAATCCCTACAGTTTTCCAGGAACGACGCACCTCAAGGACCCAAATCCGAAAGCCCGGAGACTCAGCCCCAAAACTACATGTGCAGCTTCATAGTACAAATTTCCAGTGCCCTAGAAAGATACATGGCTTAGATCACTTTGCTTGTGATTCTAGAACGACTCATGCAACCCTTGACTTGAAATGTCTTTGCACGTGTGCGTATTTCCCGAATGGAAGCCCAAAATGCAAGAATCCTTATGAGAACGCTGTGTTTGGAAACCCCCGTCGAGCCCTTAAACCCTAAACCCTAAACCCTAAACCCTAAGCCCTAAACCCTAAGCCCTAAACCCTAAGCCCGAAACCCTAAACCCCAAACCCTAAACCCTCAGCCCTAAGCCCTAAACCCTAAGCCCTAACCCCTAAACCCTAAAACCCTAAACCCTAAACCCATGGCTACCTCAAGCCGCGTTTCAACCAGGAGCTGCAATCTCTGCACATCGCCGCCGCGAACGGGCTCAAGGAAGCGGTCCTATGCCTGCTGGAGGCCGGCGGCTTTAGGAAGTTTAGGGTTTAGGGTTTAGGGTTTAGGGTTTAGGGTTTAGGGTTTAGGGTTTAGGGTTTAGGGTTTAGGGTTTAGGGTTTGTTAGGGTTTAGGGTTTGGAGTTGAGGGTTTAGGGTTTAGGGTTTAGGGAGTTGAGGGTTTTGGAATTTTAGGGTTTGGCCAGTCTAGGATTTAGGGTTTAGGGTATAGGAAGTTGAGGAAGTTTGGGAGGTTTGGGGTTTCTGAGGGTGTTCGGTATACTGAGGGTTTAGGGTTTAGGAAGTTTAGGCAGTTTAGGGTTTAGGAGGTTCAGGGTTTAGGAAAGGAAGTTTAGGGTTTAGGAAGTTTAGGGTTTTTGAGGGTTTGCGGTATACTTAGGTATCGTCCCCCCTCGTATAGTTATGCCCTACCCCTGCCCAAAAAGCAGGCTCAGCCTAAGATCCCATACATAGGGTGGGGCCTTAGCCTAAGATCCCGTACCATCCGGCGCCATAATCATGCCCTTGTCTACTTCATGGAAGCCTCATCTAAAGTAGGTTTATATTACTGCTTTTGGTGAGTGTATATAAGGTTCCTTTTAATATTGGTGAGTGTATATGTTTGGTGTCCTTTTGGGGATACAAGAAAAATAACCCCTGCTTCATATAAATGACCCAGAGCCATCGGCCAAGAAAGAAAACGAGACGCTCGCTTGTGCGAAGTCGGTTTGCTGCTCTCGGATGGGGTCATGCGGTCTTCGAAGCACTCTGATGCGAATTCCTGCACTTTGTTTTTGTGCTCTGGGGCATAACCCTAAACCCTAAACCCTAAACCCTAAACCCTAAACCCTAAACCCTAAACCCTAAACCCTAAACCCACCGCAGGCGCGGGTTGAGCCGGACGTTCCCACAAAGGCTGGGACAACGCCGCTCTACTTCGCAGCCGCGTGGGCCCGCGAAGATGTGGTCTGCTGTCCCGTGGCCGTTTTGGGTTTAGAGGGTTTGGGTGGCCCTAAACCCTAAACCCTAAACCCTAAACCCTAAACCCTAAACCCTAAACCCTAAACTGCCCTAAACCCCCTAAACCCCTAAACCCTAAACCCTGCTTCCCCTGCTGCCCGAAACTCCCCCTAGACCACAAACTTTTGGGGTTTAGGGTGGGGTCTAGGGGTTTCGGGTTTAAGGTTTAAGGTTCAGGGTTTAGGGCACCCACGTACCCATTCACCCGCTCGCGCACGCATCGCGCGCTTGCGTGCTTGCACATACACGCCTACTCGTCTTTTGTTGTTTTTGTTAATGCGTACTCGCCCACACACACACATAATTTTGCGAAGATAACCCCCAAGAGGTACCCCATGCCTTGCAAGCCTCGTTCTTTGTTTTTCTTTTTCTCAACGGCTTCTGGTGTTGCCTTTTTTGCGTTGGGGTTGATGGGGCTGCAGGGTTTAGGGTTACTCGGTAGGCCCTTGGGACATTTTATGTTTCCCTTACCTGGGCCCAGGACGATCACCTTCAAGAATCTTCTTCAGAGGGTTTCAGGGGCCATCCTAGATTAATTAGGGGTCCTCAACCCTCGCAAACAAACCCTAAACCCTAAGCCCTCAACCCTCAACCCTCAACCCTCAACCCTCAACCCTCAACCCTCAGCCCTCAGCCCTCAGCCCTCAGCCCTCAGCCCTCAGCCCTCAACCCTCAACCCTCAACCCTCAACCCTCAACCCTCAACCCTCAACCCTCAACCCTCAACCCTCAACCCTCAACCCTCAACCCTAACCCTAAACCCCAAACCCCTAAGCCTCCCTTAAGAACCATTGTAGCTGAAGCCTTTTCTCCCCCCAGGTTTGCTGGAGGCGCGGGCGCAGATTGACGCTGCGGAATCCGGTGGATGGACCCCCTTGCCTCTTGAGAAGCATGGTGAACCCTAGGGTTTAGGGTTTAGGGTTTAGGGTTAAGGGCTTAGGGCAATGTTCCCACTTGTACTAGCAGTCCTGAATAGGGATCTGCACTAACAGTCCTTAATGAGGATTATAATCGGGGGCACGGTACCATAATCCACATTAAGGACTGTTGGTATAAGGGGGAACATGGTAAACTCCAACCCTAAACCTTGAAGCCTCCGCCCTGAAGCCCTAACCCCTAAGGCTTTTCGTTTAGGGGGGGAACCTGATTCCGCTCTCGAATGCAACAATCCCCAAACCCTAACCTGAGGTCGCTGTATTCTGAGTGCCCCGATGGCTCATGTACGTTCTGAGCTGATGGTCATTTCTAGTGCGAGACGTGCTCCCCTGAAAGGGACGATGATTTTGAGGAGTCGCCAAGTTCACCAGATCACAACCCTAAACCCTGAACCCTGCTAAATCCTAAACCCCAACTCGCACGTGTTGCTTTGGGACCCGGCGCATGAGACATAGGGAGAAGTCACAGGAAAACCAAACTCAGAAGCAAAACCCCAATAAACCCTCAAACCCTAAACCCTCAACCCTAAAGCCTTAAATCCTACAGCCCTAAACCCTCAGCCCTAACGCCCTACAGATCCTGAATCCTAAATCCTGCAAACCTTACGGTTCAATTCTAGAAGCACCTTCCCGGACTCCTGGGACCTAAACCCTAAACCCTAAACCCCAAACCCCAAACCCCAAACTCTAAACCCTAAACCCTAAACCTGAGCCTAGGTTTGTGGCAGTACAGCGGGGCCATGTCAGCGTTGTCAAGCTCCGTGGCTGCAGCTATGACTTTAGGTTTCACGGTTTAGGGTTCGGGTTTAGGGTTTAGGGTTTATGGTTTAGGGTTTAGGATTTAGGGTGTGGGGTTTAGGGTGGTTTCGCCCTACACCGACACACGCCTTGAGATTGTTTTCCACGTTATGTATATAGGGCATATCAGAGTACACCACTTTCCTTACGCGTTGAAGCCCTAAACCTTAGCTTGTACCGTTGAGCACCATCAACCGCCGGCACCATCGGTTACTCCGTGGGATCCCCCCCCCCCCCCCCAGTCAGTCCCTACCTGGCAGGTTCGGACGTCTCTCAAGAATGTGATTAGATGTGTCTTGGTGTTTGTCTGCGTGTGGGGGTTTAGGGTTTAGGGTTTAGGGTTTAGGGTTTAGGGTTTAGGGTTTAGGGTTTAGGGTTTAGGGGCATCGCGATGTCTGTGATGATTGGCTTGGTGTTCGGTGACTTACGCCCAAAGCCGCCCAAAGCCCTAAACTTAAACCCTAAACTGCCAGACCCTAGGCCACAACCCTTCAATTTGACAGCCCGCGCACATTCTTTGTCTGAGAGCATTTTCAGCTGGATCAAGCCAATGCTCAGGGTCGGTTGAGTCATTGGGTTCTAGGGTTTAGGGTCTTGGGTTTTGGGTGTTAGGGTTTGGGCTCTTTAGGGATCAGGGTTGAGGGTGTAGGGTGACTTTAAGATGTGTTTAGGGATCAGGGTTTAGGGCTAGTTGGGTACTAGAGGCTTCGGAGAAAGCAGCCTGCAAGAAAGCACAGAGTAAGATGACGATGCCGTCCAACATACTGCAAGCTATGGTCACGTCTAGAGCACCCTAAATTGCGGCTCCGTATATTCGAGTAGGAACGTAGGAACCTCAAACTGGGAGATGGGTGTAACCGTCGTCGTCCCTGACTTTCTGTTTCTCTCTGATATGACCGCCGCCCTTGACGAGGCGGTTGTGTGCGGCGAAGGAGGCTATCATTTCACGCATATCATCAATGCTACGAACGGCTGTGCTCCGAACAAGTTTGACACGGGCAGGACCATACAGTATCTCAACATCAACATCGAAGACCACGCAGCGTCTGAAGATCAGATGTTGGATGCCTTTGAATCTGCGTACGACTGGGTCATGGCCAACCAGCCGCAGGACATGCGTCTGCTGGTTCACTGCATGTGTGGCGTGTCGCGATCCGCCTCGATAGTCGTTGCTCTCTTGGCAAAGTTGCAGCTGGGTGTTCCCAAAGGCGCTTCGGTATGGCGGTGCCTGCAGTTTGTGAAAGAGCGCCGCCCAATCATACAGCCGAATGCCGGCTTCCTGCGTGCTCTACTCTCTTGGCAGGATCGGCTGGATGCAGGTGGTCCAGCATCCCACTTCCCCGACCCGTCGGGATACTTTGGAATAATTTGTGATGTTTGGGCACTATAATTCCTAAGATTGCAATTTTTGCTCGAGTTCCAAGTTCAGTATCCCTAAACCCTAAACCCTAAACCCTAAACCCTAAACCCTAGGACCAAGAGAGGGCCGAAATGCTCGAAATGATCGCGAACATGGCGCCGCGAGCATCCAAGCCAGCTGCCGGCAGCGCGCGGGATGCGTTGCATCGGCTGGCCGAGGATGATGCGGCCCTTTTACGGTGCAGCTTGCTTTAGCGCGCGCACCCAAAAGTAGCATTTGCTTAAGAACCCGCTTTTTTTGCAAAAATTAGAGAAAAAATAGAAGTATAAAATGCCCCATATTACCCTTATAGAAGGAAGCACATGTTTATTGTTTTTTTGGGGTGCTCTTAAGCAATTCGTCGAAAAGTACCGCCAGCCGCGTGAACAAGCGCCTAAACCGTCTTTTCACGAAACAGCCATCCCTGAACCCTGTAAGCCGGCAAAAACTCCCTAAACCACATAAATTATCAACTTTTCCGGTGGTCCCATCCAAAGTCCCAGCCCTCAACGCGATGGAGGCGATGACTATCAGAATCATGTGATTCTTATGGGGCTCCTATTCTGGAGTTGGGGGATTCGGGTTTGGGGTTAACATAATCTTTATTGAAAACTGCCGGGGCGCCAGTTTGGAAGCATATATCATCTCCGATCGTCCAGTTCTAGAGACCTGGCTATATCTGGTTTTTGGGGATGGCTGAAACCCGAAACCCTAACCCCTAAACCCTGAACCCTAAACCCGAAATCCGAAACCCTAAACCCTAAACCCTGAAACTTAGGCACCTTCAGGCTCCAAAAGCCAATCAAACCAGACGGCGACCCTCTGTTCCCATGCAACATGCATGTTGGCACGTAGAAGCCATTATTAAGCCCAGGTAATACCCGGCAAAGTAGACTCCAGTAAATCCGAAACCCTGAACCCTCAACCCTAAGCCCCCGCAGGGTTTAGAACCCCAACCTAAACCCTAAACCTTGAACCCAGGGTTTAGGTACCCTGAATTCTAATAGGGTTTAATTAGAGGGTTTAGGTAGGGTACCCTGAACCCTAATGAGCTATTTCTTAGGGTTTGTCATGCGTTATCCCTAAATAGCCTTAATCATGGGGGGGGGGGGGGGGGACCTAGAGAGAGTACTATAGAGGGGGGTGGGGGGGGTAGTAGGGGAACCTATGAGTCTTAGGGTTTAGGGTTTAGGGGCGACTGGGTCGAAACACAACCAAACGGGAGAAAACACAACTGAGCCATGTTTGTGGTCTGGCCCAAACGGGAGAAACCGGAACTGGCTATTGCGGTGCCTTTATAAGTTGGGACATGCCCTGCAGAAAGTCCATATGATTCGTCCCTTCTCCTTGCGGCATATCACGAACATAGAGTACACAATAGAATACTTATATTCTATCTAATATTCCAATAAATGAGTCTAAAAAATTGCAATACATATATCAATACATATATATATATATATGTATATATTATACTTATTATCATATTCGTGTATGTATAACCTGTTTATATGTCTGTATAGAGTATATAAATTATACATGTAGATAGAGAGAGAGAGAGAGAGAGAGAGTAAATTACCCCCCCCCCCCCTCAAGAGAGGCCGCAGTGGCCGGGAGATGTTTCTTCTCAACCACCTTTGCGCTGAAAAAGAACGCTATTGGAAGTTGCAACGACTCAACAAAAAGCTTCCAGAGCTCTTGGTGCCCAACGACTCAGCAACAACCCTCCAGACCCGTGGCATCCCACTCTAAGACCCTAAGGACCCCCAGTTGTATTATGACCCATCTGGTTGTATTATCCCCCATCTAAGCCAGTTTTCAAGATTTCAGTTGTAGTTTTACCCATCTGGTTGTATTATCACCCATCTAGTTGCAGTTAGCCTTATTTTCGGGTTTAGGGTTTAGGGTTTTGGGTCGGTTTAGGGTTTAGGGTTTAGGTTCCCTGGAGACCCTCAAGAGCACGTCAAGTCTGAACAAGCTGGCGCGTGCTCGCGAGGCTTCTGCTGAAAACCAAGGCCGACATGAATAGAGCTGACAAGAAGCAAAGGACCGTTTAGGGTTTAGAGTTTAGGATTTAGGGCTTAGGGTTTAAAGTGTAGGGTTTAGGGTTTAGGGTGTAGGGTGTAGGGTTTAGGGCTCTGGGCTTAACCCGGCCGCTGCTTTGGGGGTGTTTTGTGGCTGAAAGGGTTTAGTCGTTACCCGGCGAGAAAGCAACCGAATTGCGCTGCGTCCGTGTGGCGCAGCATGCTTGTGTTGCTTGTTTGGGTCACCAGCTTATTCCAACTCACGTTTGCTGCCTGTGGTTTTCGGAAAGTTTAGGGGAATAGCGCTTTAGGGTTTCGGGTTTAGGGCTTAGGGTTTAGGGTTTAGAGTTTAGGGCTAGACGTCTTGAGGACGCCCCTCTACTTTGCTTCCTGGCTGGGGCATCTCCGAATTGCGCGGCTGATGCCCGGGCCCTAAACTTCAAACCCTAAACCCTAAACCCTAAACCCTAAACCCTAAACCCTAAACCCTAAACATCCCTTTTGGGGGCCCCTATTCGTAGGCCGGCACCACTCAAAGCCTACTAATCTAGAGAACGAAAAGATGTCCAACACATCCCGAGACCCTGAAATCTGAAGCAACCCTAAACTAAACCCTAAACCCTAAACCTCAAAAAACACCCCTACACCCTAAACTCTCAACCCTAAAGCATCCCTCAACCCCAAACTCTCAACCCTAAAACATCCCCAAACCTCCAAACTTTTCAGGGGACCGTTGCCCTGCCGAGTTAGAGTTCTGGTGGTAGCCCTCTTCCGGGTTGGTAAGCACATTCCACAGGAAAAAGGCTGCCCTTCTCTTTTTTAGGGTACTTGAGTCGTAGTCGCATGTGGACGTGCACGAATTTCTCACAGCTCAGCATCCTCGAACCCTTTTGCTTCCGACCTTCCGTGGTAGGATCTGTCTGGAAGGATTTAGGGTTTGGGGGTTGAGGGTATACTGTTCAGGGCGTAGGGTTGATCTCGAAAGCCCCATCAAGCCATAAAGCCCCCTAAACCTCCTAATCCCACCACATAGCCAATCCCCAAACCCCAAACCCCAAACCCCAAACCCCAAACCCTAAACCCTAAACCCTAAAGCCTGAACGCCCAACAAAAGCTTCCCTACAAAGGGGTGCCAGACGCTGGCAAACCCTAAGCACTAAGTACCGTAGGTAACCTGAGTACCCTAAGTACCGTAAGTACCCTTGAGTACCCTTAAGTACCCTTAAGTACCCTGAAGTACCCTGAGTAACCTAAGCACCCTTAAGTACCCTTAACTCCCCTAAGTACCCAAACACCCCCTAAACAGTTTAGGGTTTCGGAAACTGAACGTGGTGCCAATCCTGGGGGCTTGGTTTGTGGGTTTAGGGTTTAGGGTTCAGGGTTTAGGGTTTAGGGTTTAGGGTTTAGGGTTTAGGGTGTCAGGATTGGGAGTGCCCACCACCAAGCTACCTAAAGTTCGCTTCCCATACCCTGAACCCTGGACCCTGGATGTGGACAACCCCCCAGAAACGCTCCTCCTCAACCCTAAGCCCGAAACCCTAAACAACCCTAAACCCTAAACCACCCTAAACCCTAAACCCTAAACCCTAAACCCTAAACCCTAAACCCGGACTTGAGCTGATGCGGCTTCGTGCCTCCGGCCGTCAGAGGCTGCGCGACCGAGTCTTCCCGAACCCGAGCCGCTCGCTTACCGTCTTCTTTTGTGTTGTCGGTCCATTTGGGTCGTTCTCTGAATTGGGGTTCCCTCTTTGGGATACCTTTGCAAAAGGGTGCCGCCATATAATTTGGACCCTAGTTAAGTTCGGAAAGTACCCATTTACCTAACAGCCCTCAACCTGGGTAGCCCTGTGGTAGCCTTTTGCCCTTCTTTTGGGTCAAGGTTCCCTTCTAAAGCAACCAACCCCAGAAAGGGTACCCTTCTTATAGTATTAACAATATGGTTACAGGGCTACCAAGAAACTCCAAAACCCCGAAAACCCTGAATGAACCCTCTAAACTCATCGGGCGTTCTTAGGAACGAAAGGCTTCCCGAGTGAGTATCTCTTGTGCTCTCATAGGAACCCCCAACAAGGGACCTGAATTCAGGGATCTAAACCCTAAACTCGAAACCCTAAACCCTAAACTCGAAACCCTAAACTTGAAACCCTAAACCCTAAACCCTAAACTCGAAATGCCCAACCTGTGTTGCAGTAGACTCTAGACTTGAAAAGGGCCGAGTCGGTTAGGGCTTTTCGGGTTTATGGTTTAGGGTTTATGGTTTAGGGTTTAGGGTTTAGGGTTTATGTTTTAGGGTTTAGGGCTTAGGTTTTAGGGTTTAGGGTTTAGGGGTTTGGGTTCGAGGTTTTTAGGGTCTTCTGGTTGTCGGGTTGTAGGGTGTAAGGGGCCCATGATTCGAAACTCGAGGGTTTTCTCTTTCTCTTTCTCTTTCTCTCTCTCTCTCTCTCTCTCCCTCTCTCTCTCTCTCTCTCTCTCGTTCATCTCTCTATACTTTTCTCTACGTACAAACGTAGAGAAAATCTATATGTATTTACATAAACGTATGCATATATATATATATAGAGAGATAGAGAGAGAGACTATGTAGGTACACAGGCATATTCCCGATGTTCCTTCTACCGATCTTCCGGCAGTCGTCCCGACGGAAGCCCATACCTAAACCCTAAACCCTACACCCAAAATTCTAAACCCTAACCCCTAAGCCGTAAACCTGAAACCCTAAACCCCAAACCCCAAACCCTAAACCCTAAACCCTAAACCCTATACCCCAAACCCTAAACCCTAAACCCTAAACAGACCCCGGCCCCAACTCCCCTCGTGTCTTCAGGCCCTCATTGCGCCGGGCGCTCCAGCCTAATTAAGTAAGCCTCTAAACCCTAAACTCTAGACCCTCGACCCTAAAGCCCAAAAACCCTAGAACCCCCAAAGACCCTAAAATCCCAAAACCCTAAAACCCTGAACCCTAAACCCTAAGGGTGTAGGGTTTAGGATACGTTTAACCTGCATCTTCAACCCACTTTTGTAATAGTATAGGGGTCGGAATAATTGCTACTATGATTCCCTTTTGGTCCCTTTATGATTATACGATATTATCCCCCAAACAACCCTATTCTAATTACCCTAAACCCTAAACCCTAAACCCCCTAAGCCCCCCCTATATTACACCGCAGCAAGGAGATCGACGAGGGTGGACGCCGCTGCACACTGCCATCGCGCATGGTCAGGCTCTCCTGACCGTGGGCTTTTAGGGTTTTAGGGTTTATATACATGGACCCCGAGGTAGTCCTTTAGGGTTTAGGGTTGAGGGTTTAGGGTTTAGGGTTTAGGGTTCCGGGTCTAGGGCTTCGTGGCAGGGGATATACGCTTGGGGCGTGTGGGCAGGCAGGCTTCTGAGATTCAACAAAGAATGCTGCAGCTGTTGCTCCTGAAAGCCAAGTGAGGCAGTAGAGGCACGACGTACAATCAGGGATATTAGGAGGACCCTTAGAAGGGACGCTTAATCCTGCCACCCCATAAAACCCCCTTTTAAAGCACCGTTAAGTTTATCCCCAAATAACACTCAGTTGCCCCAATATGGGCCCTGTACAGCCCCAGGGATCCCTATGAGGGTCCCCCCCTCCTTTTTTTGCATACATATATATATATATATTATATACATATATATATATATATACATATATATATACATATATATATATATGCATATGTATATGAGAAACCCTTCGGGCCTATTTCACTTGAAAGTTTCATCAAAAAACCTGCGCCCGAAATCTGGGTTTAGGGTTTGGGGCTTGGGGGCTCCACCCCACATTTTTCCCCAGGTCGCGCTGATCCCCACAGATGTTGGATTTAGGGTTGAGGGAGTTCAGGCGCGCCCCTGACCCCTAAACCCAAAGACCCTAAACCCTCGACCCTGAACGCTAAACCCTGAACCCCAAACCCAAAACCCTCAACCCTAAACCCCCCAAAGCTAAAAGCCAGGTGGATGTGGTTCGGAGTCTGATCGACTGGAACGCAAACGTCGGGGTGGCGCAGCGGCAACTCACCCACCCCTGGACCCCGAACATCTTTCCTTCCACCCAGTAGGGTTTAGGGTTTAGGATTTGGGGTTTGGGGTTTAGGGTGTAGGGTTTAGGGCCCGAAGCAATATACCCTAAACCTTAAACTCCAAAAATGAACACCGAGATTCTTGCAATTTTTTTAGAGCTCCCACATCCCCAAAGCCTCCCGGGTTTAGGGTTTATAGAAACTGTATAGGGTTTGTGTCTGGAGTTTGGGCGGACATTTTGGGCGGGTTTTGAGCGGGTTTCGGTTTTTGCTTTCGGGTCATTCAGCCCTTCATATGGGTCAATAAATTCGTCTTCAGGGGCCTGGAAAGGCTTTCAGTTGGAACCTAGAGGTTTAATGAATTGAAAATTGGGCCTCCCGAAGCCGCTTCGGATAAATTTACCTAAACCCTAAACCCCAAACCCCAAACCCTAAACCCTAAACTGGGAAATTCTCGATTTGGTGGCGGGTTTTGGGGGGGGCCCCTCAGGGATGTGAAGCCTGGAGCTGTTGGGGGGCCCAAGGTTGGGAGCTTTCAGCTCGTGATGAAAGGGAGACAGTGTACTTCCGGGCGATGCTACAAAACTGTTTGTGAGCTTTTCGGAATGGAAATGCATACAATTTCTGTTTTCCTTGGTCTTGAGGGTTTAGGGTTTAGGGTTTAGGGTTTAGGGGGTTTAGGGTTTAGGGTTTAGGGTTTAGGGTTTAGGGTTCAGGGGAGGCCATTCGAGCAGGGGCGGCCGTGCGGCAAGTGGGGCAGCACGAGAGAAGAAGGGTTTAGGGTTTAGGGTTTAGGGTTTAGGGTTTAGGGTTCAAGGAAGTTGGGGTGCTTTGGCTTGGCTTCAAGAGCCATTCAGGACCTTTCCGTCTTCAGGCGTTGAAGGCTCCCCAAACTTCAAACTCCCCCAAAACTCTAAACTCTAAACCCTAAACCCTAAACCCTGAACCCTGAACCCTAAACCCTAAACCCTAAACCCTAAACCTAAACCCTCAGCACCGCCAAGATGACCACCCTATCCGGATCCACCTGCGCGGCCTTCTCCGCCCTCTACAACCAGCTCCCGGCCCGTGACCCTGCGGGTGCAGTCCAGGGAGGTTCAGGGTTTAGGGTATAGGGTATATAGGGTTTAGGGTTCAGGATTTCAGGTTTAGGGTTTAGGGCTAGCCCTAAGCCCTAAACCCTAATCGCCGCGGTCTCCGGGTTCAGGGCTTGTAGGGCTCCGAGTTTCGCAAGTCATAGGTTTCACACCGGGGGGCTTTAGACCTAGACCCTCTATCCCGAACGACACCCCCAACCCTAAGCCCTAAACCCTACACCCGGAAGTTGTCAGGTCAAAGCCCTAAACCCTAAATCTCTCAGGAGCCTTAAACCCTAAATCCCGACATCCCCACCAGAACCCTCAACCTTTTACCCTAAATCCCTAGATATCTAAACCCTAAAACCCTAAACCCCCCAAATCCACAAATTCCCTAAACTCTAAACCTATAACCCTAAATCCCTAAATCCGTCAACCCTGAAAACCCTAGAAGAGGAACCTAAACCCTCAATCTCTCAGTCCGTAAAACATTAAACCCTGAACCCCTAAACCCCCGAGGGCCCCACACCCCTAAACCCTCAATCCCTAAATCCCTACATCCCTGAACCCTCAATCCCTAACTCCCTAAGCCCTGAAACCCTGAGTCCCTACATCCCTACAAACCCTAAACCCTAAACCCTCCATTCCTAAACCCTAAATCCTAAGCCCTAAACCCGAAACCCTCCATGTCTAATCCCGAAACCGCAAACACACCCAAGAGGCCCTAGAGTTGATCTTGGAGCGTCGCGGAGATCCCAACTATGCCGCCCGGGCTTAGTGTCAAGGGTTTAGGGTTCAACTGTTTAGGGTTTAGGGCTTGGAAAGGGCTTAGGGTTTTTCATGGTTTAGAGGTTAGGGTTTGTAGGGTTTAATCCCTAACCCCTAAACCCTCAACCCTCAACCCTAAACCCTAAACGGTCTCATAGTGTTTTCGGGGTCTAAAGTTTGCGGTGCGCTTTGAAGCTTTGGGGGCTAGGTTTGAAGGGGTTTGGGGTTCAGTGATTTTGTGCTGATAGGTTTGTCGATTTTTGGTTTTGGGGTTCAAGGGAAACCCTAAACCCTAACAGCCTAACTCGTAAACCCTAAACTCTAACAACCCAAACACCTACAGACTAAATTCCACACCCTGAACCCTAACAGCCCTAAATCTTAAACCCTGAACTCTAAACATCCTCGCACTTACACGTAAAGCCCTAAACCCTGATTCCTAAAAACCCTAACTCAACCCTAAACTGTACTGTAAAAACCCTAACACTCAACCTCCAAGAAAAACCTAGGGTTTGACTTGTTCGGGACCTTCGGGTGCTCATCCTTCACCCTACGCCCTACACTCGCTTAGGGTTTAGGCTTTAGTGTTTAGGGTTGCGGGTTTAGGGTTTAGTAGGGAATGAGGAATGAGGTACCCTATAGAATCCCTGAAAGGGTAAAGTATAGGGGTTTGATTCCCTCATTCCCTACTCAGAAAAAGGGGTAAAGGGCCCTCGACTGGCTTAGAAGTTTGGGCGCTGACTTCATGGACGTCAGGAATCATGCGGGTTTAAGGTTTGGGGTTTAAGGTTTGGGGTTTAGGGTTTAGGGTTGAAGGTTTGGGGTTTAGGGTTTAGGGCTTGCTGCCAAAGGCCCACTAGCAATTTCTCCAATCCTTCTCCCAAAAAGCATAGAAGCCCTAAAGGCAAGCACGTCTTGAGTCAAAACCCCCTTCAAAGCCTCAGCCCCATGCACATAAGCCCCTTCAATCGCAGCCCTTCAACCCTCAACCTCAAGCCCTAAACCTTTAAACCCTGCTAACCCTTAACCCAAAAGCCGAAATCCTAACCCCTACAAACCTTTCACCTAAACCCCGAACCCCAAAGCCTGCGATTCCCAAAGGCCCCTGAAGGCCCCGAAGAGGCCTAAGAGCCCCAAACCCTGAAACCTGCAATCCTAAATCCTAAGCCCTAAACCCTTAACCCCTAAACCCTCAACCCTAAACCGTAAACCCTAAACCCTAAACCCTAAACCCTAAACCCTAAACCCTAAACCCTAAACCCTAAACCCTAAACCCTGAACCCTGAACCCTGAACCCTGAACCCTGAAAACCCTAAACCCTAAACCCTGAACCCTGAAACCTAAACCCTAAACCCTAAACCCTAACCCTAAACCCTAAACCCTTCCAGGCCGAAGCTGAGCTTTACACGCCCCTCCACCATGCGGCGGAGTGGCTTGGGGGCGATGTAGGGTTCAGGGTTTAGGGTTTAGGGTTCAGGGTTTAGGGTATAGGGTTTAGGGTTTGCTGTGATAGGGCGTGGATGCTGTGAAGTTTAGGCTTTGGAACAAGCTCGAAACCTTCGTGAGGCGCGAAGAGCAGCTTTGGCCCGATTGTGGAAGGCCATCTAGCACTTTCCCCCCCACCCCACGCCGTCCGAGGCGGTTTAGGCCTAAACTCAGACAACAGTCCACGTCTAAAAACTTCTTCCGTTTCAGGACGATCGTGTCAGGGGGTTGCAAGAGTCCAAGCCGATTTGAAGGAGGGTGCAGGGGTGCGAGGAGGGTCTTGGGAGGTTTTGGTCGCTCCTTCCCAGCAGGGTCTCAGGGGGTTTCAGGGGGAAAAGCACCAAAAATGCAGCTTTTGAGCACCCGCCCCACCTGGCCTGGCCAGAGGCCCCCCCACGTCTCACCTGATTTTATGAAAGGGACCAGTACTGGGCCCCACGTGGGTGCTACCGACCCCCGAGCTGTGAGAGGCGGGCGAACGACCTGGTAGGCTTGCGTAATCGAGGTGGAAGGCTGGCCTAGGCCCTGAGTTTAGGCTTTAGGGTTAGGGTTCAGGGTTTAGGGTTAGGCTTTCGGATTTAGGGTTTAGGGCCCTAAGTCCAAAACCCGAAACCCGTTTGCGGGCTTTGGGCTTGGTGGCCGACGTCCGAAGTTGGCGCAGGATTTTGGGGATGAGATTGACTTTGGACTTTCGGTCTCGTGACCTTCGACATATTGGCGATGCGCGGAGGTTTTTACGCAGGGTTCAGGGTTTAGGGTTTAGGGTTTGGGGTTTAGGGGTTAGGGTTTAGGGTTTAGGGACCACGTATCGCAGCTCGATCCAAGAAGTCGGAGTGTAGCACAGAAGGGCGACAAGGAAGTCGTCTGGCAAGGGTGGCAATCCGGACCACCGCGACGTTGGGGATCGGGACCCGCCGGCAACTGGCCAAGTGTTGCAGTCCCTTCGCGATCTGCGCTCCCATTCTGGTGGGCTACCCCGTCAAGGCGGACACGGTGCCAGTGTTTCTGAATTTTGGCGTCAGTGGACGCGGGAGTGTGCCCAACCGTTTATGCCTCACGTTGGCATCACGCGTGCTAAGCGCGACGATTTCGGTAAGGCCACAGTGCTACAGCTGCTCTACGACCGTTTAATTGAAAGAGGTGCCCGGCTCACGCATCCCATTGTACACGTGGACACCCTGTAGGCCCAAATTTTCCTAGAAGCCTCTACGAATGGTATTCCCTCAGAATAGTTATTTATATTGTTATAAGAAGAATAATCATCATACAATCATAATAGTAATAGTACCAATGGTAATGATTACAGTAAGAAGAAGAATCATCATAATCCCTTTACAATTATACTAGCATAACACCCAAGGCCGAGCCCTCGTCACAAATCTTGCCTCAAGACGAGGAAGAGTTGCTTCAGGGTTTAGGGTTTATATCATCGTGGAGACTCGCCCCTATCGTCATGGCGTGTTTCGTCGTTGGGTTGAAGGGTCGTGGTTTCAGGTTTAGGGTTTCCGGGTTTAGGGGCGTGGGGCCGAGAAGTTAAGGCAAATGAGGGTGTCGGGGGCTTAGTTTTGTGTATTAGGGTTAGGTGGCTTCTCAGAAGCAACAGGTCATAGCCAGTAACTTTTGCCAATCCCTAAAATAACCCCAAACCCTCCAGCGACATTGGAGCTTGGGATTTCGGGCTTACGTTCCAGGGTGAACATCCACGCGGAGAACTCCTCAAGGACCCTAAGCCCTAAACCAAAAACCCTAGACTCCCCATCGTTTTTGAGGCGCCATAGTGGCCATGCCCCAAACCCTAAGGCTTGAGGTTTAGGGTTTAGGGTTTAGGGTTTAGGGTTTTCCCGTAAACCCTCAACCCTAAACCCTAAACCCTAAACACTAAACCCTAAACCCTAAACCCTAAATCCTAAACCCTAAACCCTAAACCCTAAACCCTAAACCCTAAACCCATGCAGGGCTAAAGATGTTCCGTACCAGGTTCGGGCTTCTGGAAGTGATGCAGAGGCTGCTGGAGGTCCGAGCGGAGGTGGAGAGACGACGCTCGGGTGAAGTGTTTTCGGGTTTTCGGATTTTAGGGTTCAGGGTTTTAGGGTTTTAGGGTTTAGGGTTTAGGGTTCAGGGTTTGGGGTTTAGGGTTTAGGGCTAGGTTTCCCTGTTGTAAAGCCTGAAGGTTGGTTTAGGGTTTAGGGTTTAGGATGTAGGACTTAGGGTTTAGTCTCATACTTTTCTAATTGCCCTTACTGCGGGTTCAGTGTTTAGGGTTTAGGGTTTAGGGCTTAGGGTACGACTAAAACCCCTTAACCCGAGTATGCTTTCCTCCCAGCCCAGGCACCCACGAAGGCTCCACCGCATTGTTCCTGGCCGCCCAAGAAGGGAGGCTGAAAGCAGCCCCTTGACAGGTTCATGGTCCCTGGTATGGAGGGTTTAGGGTTTAGGGTTTAGGGATTAGGGGTAGCTTCGTGGGCCCCTAATATGGTCCCTTGCCTCCTTTAAAGGGTTCTGAAGTATGGGCTCCCGGGTTAGAAGGGGGTATGTAAGGAGTCCCCTTTTAAGCCTGTAGACGAGACAAGATCGCGAAGATTATTTGGCAAAAGCAAGGGCATTCTTGCGGCGGGAGCTCGGGAGGATGATGTGGCCAAGGATGAGCCGCAGAGCAAGAAGGGCAAGCGCGGCCAGCAGCAGAAGCCACCTGTCCGAGTGGCAGCATACGACCTGCTTCTGGCCAAGGATAACGCCCTGCTCTGCCTTACCAATCGCTGTCCGGATGCCTTGATGCCCAAGGAAACCGATCCTTGTCACATTCTTGCAGGCTATCACTTCTATTGCAGCAGAGGTGGGTTTAGAGTTTAGGGTTTAGGGTTTAGGGTTTAGGGTGTAGGGTTTAGGGTTTAGGGTTTAGGGTTTAATTTAGGGTTTAGGGGTATCAAAGTACAACATTGTTGTGCAAGTTATCCCTGGGTTTGGCTTCAGGGACCATGCAACTACCCTTAGATTTGCACGAGGATTCGAGGTAGGCCCTTGGGATATTTTGTATTTTCCCTTCTTGGGTTGATGAAGGCCATTTTCAGGAAGATGTCTCAGAGGGTTTAAGGGCACTCCTAGGTCAGGTCTAAGGCTTTTAGGGCTTTTAGGTTTTAGGGTTGAAGGTTGAGGCTTTTGTGGGTTTTTGGCTTAGGTTTAGGGTTTAGGGTTCAGGTGGTTCGGGTTTTTGGGACGGGCGTGGGAAACGAGCCTTGAGAAGATGGCCGCTTTGGCATTGAGCTTTGAGTGCTTGGGGTTTAGGGTTTAGGGTGTAGGGTTTAGGGCTTAGGGTTTAGGGTTTAGGGCCAAATGGGAAGTAAATCCTCGACCCTGAACCCCATGTGTCTGACTTTTCTAGTGATCAGGGAGCCATGGGGCCAGGGACATCAGACAACGATGCACCAGGGGACAGTTGAGATTAGGGTTTAAGATTTAGGGTTTAGGGTTTAGGGTTTAGGGTTTAGGGTTTAGGGTTTCAGGTTTATGCATTCAGGGCTTGACGGTGGTAAAGTCATAAAAGATCTGGATAATGGTGGAAAAAGTTCGTCGAAAGACTCGGCAAATATGCGAACGTAAAAGAATTAAGATAAACAAGATTGACTCTAGGATATGCCACTTCTGGAGACCCTTGAAAGATAGGTACAAACTCATTTCCCAATCCTCCAAACAAGCCGGGCATTACTAACACGAGGATCATGCGAAAGCCATGCAATGTAATGCTTGTATTATAGAAGTTCTGGCTTTCTGGAGCTATAATCCTACATCTTGATGAATATAATTCCATTCTTGATATGAAGCTTCCGGAGATTCCAAAGATGAATCCAGATGGTTTAGGGTTGGTTTTAGCGCACCCTAAACCCGAAACCCTAAACCCTAAACCCAAAACCCTAAACTCTACACCCTAAACCCTAACGCCTTGCAGGTTCACATGCTCGTGGTGGCCAAGGCAGACATCAACGCGCCCAAGACGGCCAGCAGTATCTGGGCTGCAACCAGGCCTTCGCAATATGTGGGCTTCCGAAAATTAGGGTTTAGGGTTTAGGGCTTAGGGTTTGGGTTCAGGGTTTAGGGTTTAGGGTTTAGGGGCCGGTACCTTACTAAGGTCCTTGTCATAAGGAATCCTACTCTTTGGGGGGTCTATTTCAGTGGTCCCCTATTTTGTAAACCCCACATGGTCCCTTAAGCCCTGAGAACGAGACCAGACCTAATGAACCCTAAACCCTCAATTAGGGTGCTAAAGCTATGTTGCAGAAGACCGAAAGCCCCAAAAACCCCTAAATTCCCAAACTCCGTTTCTTGCAGCGTGTCTTTCCCCTGGAAGCGGCCCTAGACCCTAAACCCTTAGGGTTTAGGGTTTGGGTTTAGGGTTTCGGCTGTAGGGTGAACCCTCAGACCCCTCGGAGGCCCTCGCGTACGTGGCGAGGCGCCGAACCAAGAAGGCGCGATTGCGGGGGGGGGGGGGGGTAAGGGTTAGGGTTTAAGGCTTAGGGTTTCGGGTTTAGGGCTGATTGCTTAGGTTTAGGGTTTAGGGTTTAGGGTTTAGGGCTTAGGGCTTAGGGCTTAGGGCTTAGGGCTAGGGCTTAGGGTTTAGTGTTGAGCGGGGGGGGGGGGGGGCGGGCGGGGGTGTAGGGTTTTAGGGTGTTTTGGGTCTAGGGTTTTAAGGTTGTTTTGGGGTTTAGTTTTTTGTTTTAGGGGTGGGGGTTCGGGGTTTGGCGTTGTTTTGGGGTTTAGTTTTTTATTTGTTCTTTAAGAGGGGGTGCTGTGGGGGGGTTAGGGTTTATGGTTGTTTTGTTTGCTTGTTTGCTTGTTTGTTTGTTTTTTTCTTTTAAGAGGGGATGGGGCTTTAGATTTTTGTTTTCTCTCTCTTTCTCTCTTTTTCAAGAGGGGGGAGGGGGTAACGGTGTGGGTTTCTGGGTTGTGTTAGGGTTTAGCTGCTTTAGGGCTTTGACCGGGGTTCTTGGTGTGTTGTTAAGAGTATGTTCGGGGCGTTTGGTGTTCTTGGGTGTTTATTTATTGGGTTTCGTTGGGTGCGGGCGTTCGGCCGTTTTGTGTTTCACTGTTGTTGTTTTTGTGTTGCTTAGGGTTTTCGTTAGGGGTTAGCAGGGTTTGCTGATGATATTTAATGTTGTTTTGGGTGTTCTAAGTATCCCCGAAGCCCGGAGACTTGAAGCGTACAATTAAGCTTCACACCCCCTAAACCCTAAATCTTCCGACGTCCCCTAGCTCTTAAACCCGAAAGCCCCCAAATCGCTTAAGACTTCAAAACCTCACCCTAAAACACCCTAAACTCAGAGCCTAGGCCGGTCCAGGGGCGGCGCTTAAGCCCTTCCACCTCCACACCCCCCTCAGATCCCCTGAGAGGACCCTGGAACCTTCTCTTCTGGAACTCCCCATCGAACCCCCCCTGACAGCCCTGAAACCCCCCTGGAAACCCCCCCCCCGGTCCAGAACAGTGTGGGACCTTAATCTTTGTCGGCCTCAAACAGACCTCCCTCACAACTGGAATTTTCTGAATGCCTGGGCCTGGGACCCCAACCTCACGAGACTCTCTGGAATGGAAGAAGTTTTATGGAAGTGTGCAGTTGGCTTGAGTTTAGGCAGGCCTAAGCCCTAAAAAGAATAGGTTCGGGTGGTTTTGCCGCCTGAGACGGCGTGGGGTGGGATAAGGATAGATGGCCCTCCACTATCGGGCCATGGCTGCTCTTCGCATGTCACGAAGCTGCGCCATATCCCAGCAAACCCTAAGCCCTAAGCCCTAAATCCTAAACCCTAAGCCCTAAACCCTAAACCCTAAACCCTAAACCCTAAACGCTTCTATGGCAGGTGCGACGCCGCTCTACATCGCAGCCTCTCAGTGTGGTTGAGTTTAGGGTTTAGGGGTTAGGGTTTAGGGTTTAGGGATTAGGGATTTAGGGTTTAAGGTTTAGGGTTTAGGGTGTAGGGTTTAGGGTTTAGGGTTTAGGGGTAGTGGCTGAAGTTTTAGGAGGAGTTCCGGGGCTTCGGGGTTTGGTGATGTTGAGTTTCTTTGCTTTAGTGCTCTGGGCTTTCGGGCTTGGAGGAGGTTAGCGCTTGTTTAGGAGGAGTCCGGGTGTTTGGGGGGGCCTGAGAGCTTGGGCCTAGGAGGCGTTTAGGTGTGTCCATTGATGTAGGTTTAGAGTCTAGGTGATACGGGAGTTTAGTTGTGTGCATTGATGTAGTCTTTTCAGGGTTTAGTGTGCAGGGTTGGTATATACCCAAGAAGCATCTCAAATTGCCGCGCATGCTCTTTTTGCCTTAGGGTCTAGGTTTTAGGGTGTAGGGTTTAGGGTTTAGGGTTTGGGGTTTGGGGTTTAGGGCTTAGGGAAGGAAATCTTGCAAAGTGAGCGAGAGGTAAAGGGAGTTCAACTCTTGGGCCGTTGAGGTACCCTAAACCTTCAACACTGAGCCTGATACCCTAAACCTCAAACCCCAAACCCTAAACCTTAGGATGTCGTGGGTTAAGGTTTAGGGGACTTTAGCCCCCTAAGAAGCCCTCACACCCTGATCTTTCTTTACACCCACGGCCGCCAAAGGCTGCCCCTAAACCCTTCATCGTTCAAGTCTCCAAAACCCCCAAAACCCTTCAAACCCCCTCCCCCCCCCCAACCCCCCCCAAAACCCCCAAAACCTCCAAACCCCCAGAACCCGAAGCCCTACGATCCAAGGCTTCCTCTAACCACATGGACGTCGTCAAGTGCCTTGCTTCGAGTGAGCAAGTACCGGGGTTAGGTAGAATTGAGGTTTCGGGGTTTCGTCGCCACTTCAGCCCTCAAAGCTCTCAGCTGAATATGTGCTATAACCACCCGAAGTGCTCAGGCTTTAGGCCTTATGTTTTTTTTATTTTATTTTTATTTTTTTTTTGGGGGGGGGCTTTGCCTCGGATGGTTTTTGTCTGGCTCCCTGGATTATCGCTGTTTTGCCCCATCTTTTGATCTTTGAAATGCACATATGTTCAAGAAAGACCGATGAGCCGAAGAGGTTTCGTTTCTTCTTTACGTTGTTCTCTTTGTTTTTGATTGTTTTGTTGTGTTTTTTGGGCGGGGGGGGTGCTTTGGTGCTGTTTTTTTTTTTTTTTTTTTGGGGGGGGGGGGGGGGGGGGGGCTAGGGGCCCCTAGAGGAAGAACGCCGAATTGAGCCTTGCCACCAAAGAATGTTTATCCCAACTTCCCTCCGCCCTAAAAAACCCTTAAGCCCCTTAATGCAGAAAGTAGACCTGAATTCTAAAAACCGGACGAGTAAGGAGGGTTTTGGGTACAGGGTTTATGCAAGAGCTCATGGTTGGGTCTGAGGCTTAGGTGTTAGTTAGGGTTTATGGGTTCTATGTCGAGAATTAACAGGTCCTCAGTGACGGCGGTTCAAGGAGGGTAGGGAACCCAAGGTTCCCGAATACACCCCACCTGCTGCCTAAGGCTACCTCAGCTTCCCTGAAGTTTCCTAGCCCCATGAACCCCCTCCCTTAAGGATCCTAAAGAAGCTGAGGTACTTGATCGCCACCGGTGCCGACAAGGATGGCCTCCATCCCTGGTTGGTTTTATATGGAGAGCAGTTACACATTCGGGCCTCGGTGGGTTTAGGGTTCTGGGTTTAGGGTTTAGGGCTTAGGGCTTAGGGCTTAGGGCTTAGGGTAAAACCCTGGGATGTTCCCCTTCTAAGAACAGTCCTTAATAGGGATTCTAGTAAGAAGGGGGGGGTGGGCTACTTTTTTTAGCAGGCCCCTTCGTCAGTAAAGCTTCACCAAAAAAAAGTGTGTGCATGTGTACGTAGGGCCCCTAAACCGCAAGCCCTAAAACCTCAACCAGCCCAAACCCCAAACCCTAAACCGAAACCCTAAACCCGAAACCCGAAACCCTAAACCCGAAACCCCTTTCGGGCAGAACCATGATATAGACAATATGGACAGTAGCACAGAGCCCCGCTAAACCCTGAACCCGAAACCCGAAGCCCCAAACGCAACCCTAAGGCTTAAACCCTGTAACGCCTAAGCCCTGAACCCTAAACCAGAAACCCTAAACCCTAAACCCCTAACTTGAAGGATCTGTGCGGGCCCCCCCATGGCGCGGGAACTCCGCTCTACGGGGCGACTTTGCAAGGCCACGTCCAGGCCGGGGTTTAGGGTTTAGGGTTTGGGGTTGAAAGTTCAAAAGGTTTAGGGATTAAGTTTGAAAGGGTCAGGGCTTCAAAGGGTTTAGGGTTGGGCTTAGGGTTTTCCCCATTCAAGCCGTTTCGTGTTGCTTTTAGGAGGTCGCAGGCGCGCTAAAACCTCGTGACTTGGAGGTGCGGACGTTGTTTCGCTTGGGTTTTAGCCGCGCCAGCACTGTCTGCATGTCCATTTCGTCAGAACGCTCGAATTAGGTCAGGTCCTTCCGCAGCCAGAAACACGTTTTTTTTTTTTTTTTTTTTTTTTTTTTTTTTTTTTTTTTTTTTTTTTTTTTTTTATCTTGAAACAGTGCAATTAGTGTCTGTAGCTGAAGAAGTTCGCGCGAGTTCTCCTCAGAACCGAACTGTATAACACAGAAGTACACATACATGACTCCTTTCAGGCAAACAAGCACATAAAACCATTGCTTTTACGAGGTCTCTTACGACATGCACACAAGGGTCAGTTTTGTGCATGTTTGTCCTTTTGTTCTGTTTGTTTTCGTGTTGCTTCTGCTGGCAGTTGTTAGTGGATCGGCGTCATGACGACACACCGTTCGCATACGCCTTATGACAGTGCGTCTTGCTACAGAAACATCAAACATCCTGGTGCAGCATGTTGTGTAGTGGAGCAAAACCGCTGTAAATACCGGTGTTTTGGGCATGGATACAGTAACATGGTCGTAACCAGCCCCCCCCCCCCCCCAAACCCCAAACCTTTCCAAAAGTCCACGAAACAACCAGGTTTTTTACGCGCTTGCTTCCTGCTTCCGTTTAGGAGTTCTTCCCTGAGCTAGAAACCCCCAAGTATTTTCTGTTCCTACTAACCCTACACCCTAAACCCTAAACACATGTCTCCTTCAGAGCATAACCTACACCTGCTTCTTTAGGATGAAGAATTCAGGGTTTACGCGTTTGGGATTTAGGATTTAGGGTTTAGGCCCCCCCCCCCCCCCCAAACTGCCCAAAACAGGTCGTCAGCACCCTGCTGCGCAACCGCGCCACAGTGGACCCTCCGGGCACAGACTGGCATCCTCTGCTGCTTGGTCGAGCTTTAGGGGGGCTTTCGGTTTTCTTTAGGGTTTAGGGGTTAGGGGTTAGGGTTTAGGGTCTATCATTTAGGATTTAGGGTTTAGGGTTTCATGGTTTAAGGTTCAGGCCTTGGGGGTTTTCAGGGCAAAGCCAAATACGTGTCGGTATTATAGCTACCTGGCTCTCTAAATTACGGTCCCTCTTGGAGTGCACTTAAATACTTTCAAAGTTCCGTATTATCACAGGAAGCCACTAATGGACCATCGTGCTGGGAACTCCATGTAGAACCTCTAACCCTAAACCCTAAACCCTAACACCCAAAACCTAAAACCTAAAACCTAGACCGACCTTTCAACCCTCGTGTACCTCCAAGTGTAGGTGTCTGCTGCTTTGGGGACTGAGGCGGCTTGCCTTCACCCAATCTCCTGAACCAGGTATACAACCCCCTAAGTAGGCTTTTGGGACATTCTATATTTTCCCTTGTTGGGTTTGAGAGGAGCATATTCAGGAATATTTTTCAGAAAGTTTCAGGGGCCATCCAAGCCCAACCCCTTCTGTGCAACTTGCCAAGATATTCCCTTCTTCAATTCTCTCCAAGACCTATGCTTCAACTGCAAGACATCCCGAACCTTATACGCCTCTAAGCCATAAACTCTAAACCCTCAGACACCACCCATGTAAGCAAGCCTTCCCTCCTTCTTCTCTCACCCGAATCTGCACAGACGAATGTGGCTTGAGGTTTGGGTTGAGGTTTCAGGGTCCAAAAAACCCGAAAGCCTCAAATTCTTGTACGAACCCTTAACCCTAAATCTTTGTCATGGCTGGGTAACGTTTTACATGTTTAAGGATACTTAATCCCAACAAGGAATACACATTTACGTGTTTGACACTATCCCAACCATGAACTAGCCCTAAACCCTAAACCCTAAACCCTAGACCCTAGACCCTAAACCCTAAACCCTAAACCCTAAACCCTGACATGTCGACTCCTAAGCCGGAATGAAGCAGTTTGGCTGCGATCGAAGCACCCACCCGGGCCTCACTTGTCACACTTCTGGAGGCTGGGGGGGGTTTAGGGTTTAGGGCTAGGGTTTAGGGTTTCGGGTTTAGGGTTTTGGGTTGAGGGCTTGGGACTTAGGGTTTCGGGTTTGGGGTTTAGGGTTTCGGGCTTAGGGGTTCAGGGTTTAGGGTTTAGGGTTTAGGGCTTAGGTTTTAGGGTTTAGTGCTTAGGGTTTAGGACTTCGGGTTTTGGGTTTATGGCTCAGGCTTTAGGGCTTAGGGCCTTATGCCTTAGGCAGGTTTAGGCGAACTAGGGTTCGTGCTGCAGTCTGCATTTTTCGGGCGCTGTCTCGGGGGGCCTTTTGGGTTTCGGGTTTAGGGTATAAAGGGTAAAGGGATTAGGGTTTAGGGTTTAGGGTTTAGGGTTAAGGTGTGGGGGGGGGGGGGGGGGGGCGGTGTTGGTGTGTTGGCTCTCGCAATCCGTGAACTGGCATGTTGCAGGCGCGCGTGTGCCCCAACTCGCGCCATGAGACTCTTGGCACGCAATAGAGGTTCGGGTTTAGGGTTTAGGGTTTAGGGTTTGGGTTTAGGGTTTAGGGTTTAGGGTTTAGGGTTTAGGGTTTAGGGTTTAGGGTTTCGGGTTCAGGGTTCAGGGTTTAGGGTTTAGGGTTTAGGGTTTAGGGTTTAGGGTTTAGGGTTTAGGGTTTAGGGTTTAGGGTTGATCCACACTGCGAGGGGTTTGTGGCGAGGATGCTCGCGGCCAGGCTTGGGGTTTAGGGTTTTGGGTTTAAAGGGTTTAAAGGGTTTAAAGGGTTTAAAGGGTTTAAAGGGTTTAAAGGGTTTAAAGGGTTAAAAGGGTTGAAAGGGTTCAAACGGTTTAAAGGGTTCAAAGGGTTAAAAGGGTTCAAACGGGTTAAAGGGTGCAAAGGGTTTAAAAGGGTTCAAGGGTTCAAAGGGTTTATAGGGTTTAAAGGGTTTATAGGGTTTCAAGGGTTTAGCAAGGCGATCAGTAGTCACAGGCGTGGATAGCCGCGATCCCCGAAAACCCTGAACCTCTAAACCCTGACCCTAAACCCTAAACCCTAAACCTTAAACCTTAAACCCTGAACCTTAAACCCTAAACCCAGAGCGATCACGCCCCGCACCTGTAAGAGTAGCGACTCCAGCCACATGGAAAACAGCCAAACCCAAGTCCTAAACCCCAAATCCTAAACCCCAAATCCTAAACCCTGAACCCTAAACCCTAAACCCCAAACCCTAAACCCTAAACCCTAAACCCCAAACCCTAAACCCTAAACCCTAAACCCTAAACCCTAAACCTTGCATCCTCTCCTTAAGACTCAATCCAAGGAGCCCCACTGCGCCTCTCAAGTCTGCAATAAGGGTGCGGAACCTGGAGGTGAGGAGGGGGAGGAGTGAGAAGTTTAGGGTTTAGGGTTTAGGGTTTAGGGTTTAGGGTTTAGGGTTTAGGGTTTAGGGTTTAGGGTTTAGGGTTTAGGGTTTAGGGTTTAGGGTTTAGGGTTTAGGGGGCTTAGAGGTTCGAAATAGTCCAACCCCAAAAGGGATGGACAATCTAGGGAACCTAAGTACAAGGCAATCAGCTTTCCTTGATGCTGGTGGTAATCAGAAGGACAGTGCAAGCCCCAAATTGCATCAACTTTTTTTGGTTCAGTTCCTGCTCATAGTACCCTAAACCCTAAACCCTAAACCCCAAACCCTAAACCCTTTTTTGTCCAGTTCCTGCTCATACTTGGGAAGCTTCTATAGACTTGTTGCGCGGCGCCCTCCTTACTGCCAGTGTAGACCCCAGCTTGCTTTTGACGTTGATGGAACCCTAAGCTCTAATCCTAAGCCCAAGACCTCCTAGTCCCTAAACCCCGAAGTAGACCCTAGACCCCTGAACCCCCTTAAACCCCCTTAAACTCCCTAAACCCCCTAGACCCCAGACCCCGAAGCCCCTAAACCCCCTCAAAGCCCCTAAAACCCCCGGAACCCCCGAACCCCTAAGACCCTAAACCCCCTCAAACCCCCTAAACCCCTTAAACCCCTGAACCCTTAACCCTTCAAGCCCCAACTCTTTGCCGCACGGCCAGGCCATGAAGTGGCTCGTGCATGCTGGCGCGAGTCAGGACAGGGGTGGCTTCTGTAGATCTGGTCTGGGGTTTAGGGTTCAGGGTTTGGACTTGTTTTAAAGTTGTTGTGGGTTTGGGGTTTTGGGTTCAGGGCTTAGACTTCTTCAAGTTCTTATGGATTTTGGGTTTTGGGCTCAAGGGTTGAGACTTTTCAAGTGGTTTTCAGCGTCCAAGCGCTTAGGGTTAGGCTGTTTTTAGGGTCTGGGGCCCACCGAGGCCGGTCTACAATGTTCCTGCTGGGCTGTGTACCAGACGGTCCATTTGTAGTACTCTTCGGGAACTTAGGTACCCGCAAACCATCCTAAGTTTTTTTGGGTACCGAATTTCCAACAATCGTACCAGACATGGACCCTCTGGGTAGTTTCTTTTGGAGATTCTTTGGTGTGGTGCTGGAGCTCTGTGCCCCCTAAGAAGAGCGACTGGCACAAGTCAGACGTGGAGCACCGCCTTACACAGATGTCTGAGGAGCTTGCTCCTTAGGGTTTAGGGTTTAGGGTTTAGGGTATCAATGGGAGTTTACGAATCAATATGGAACCCTTAATATGGGTGCCCACGAAGCCCGTCCCACGAGCTTTTCATGCCACATCCTGCCGACACCTGAAGAGTCAAAAGGTCTCGCCGAGACACTCCCATGTGCCAGTATGACGCACACGAGTGCGAACATCGTATCACCAGTTAGAGTTAGATGAATAGGCTGCTGTAGATACATGCGCATACATAGTGTTCATCATTTCGAATAGCATCTCAGTGATTTAGAAGTTCGTGTCGGTTCAAACTTGACAAGACCCACACGGCATCAATGGTAGCTGGTAGGCTCTGTGAGTGGCTGGGCTGTGCGTGGCGTCTGGAAGTTTAGGGCTTAGGAGTTAGGACTCAGAAAGGTTTAGGGTTTAGGGTTTGTTTAGGGTTTGTTTAGGGTTTAGGGTTCCGGGTTTGGAGTTTCTGTATTGGGTAATTTTTAAGAGCCCTTAAGGGATCTACTTTTTGGATCTTCCCGCCCTAAACCCTATAAGTACCCCCTAAACCCTGAACCTAAACCCTAAACCCCAAACCCCAAACCCTAAACCCCCCCCTGCCCCCTTCCCGTGTCCCTCTTCAACACCCGTCGCTTCCCTCAGTGGACCATTCACAGTGCCCAAGAGCGGTCTGAACCCCTTCTCGTTCCAGCGCCCTAGACCCCAAGCCGTCCCAAGATGTCAGGCTTCAGGGTTCCATAGGTCCTAACCCTAGCCCTAAACCCTAAACCCTAAACCCTAAACCTTAAACCCTAAACCCTAAACCCTAAACCCTAAACCCTAAACCCTAAACCCTGCAAGCACTTTGGGGCCCTCAGATTCTTGCTGGGGCTTGAGGGCTTCTGCGGGTGGTTTAGGCTGCACCGGTTCAGGAAATGGTGGACACCATGGGATGGACGCCGCTTCACACCGCCGCGCATGCAGGCGAGAAGCGGAGGTTAGGACCAGCCCCGGAATTTCGGAGCTGGGTAGGGTTTAGGGTTTAGGGTTTTGGGTTTTGGGTTTTGGGTTTTGGGTTTTGGGTTTAGGGCTTAGGGCTTAGGGTTTAGGGTTTCGGGTTTTGGACCCTTTCGGGGCACTCTCCGTCCTTTAAAAAAACCCAAGGTAGTGGTTCAGCTTCTTTTCCCTTAGAGAAAGCAAAAGCTCATTGACACATTCTGGGCGTGTGTGGGGTGAGTGCGGAACTTGAAGAATCACCCTAAACCCTAAAACTCTCCACTGTGACCCAAGCCCTAAATTTATAGGATCCGTAAGGGAAGGTGGTTCATGGGGGTAGGTACCTAGGGAACCTTCGGGAGCCTGAGGGACTAGTGGGGAATTTTGGGTTACATACCCCCTTGAACCCCCCCTCTTCTAGGAACACTAGAATGATTTGTCTAGAGCCCCTGGCCCCGCTCCATGTGAGGTAGGACGTGTCGTTCAAAGTGTCCCCTCAAAAGGACACCCAGTATATATGCTCACCAAAAGCAAGAATGAAGAACCCTAAACCCTGAACCCATCTTAGGCGGGTTTATGCTGATGATGCCCTTTATACACTTGTTGCGCCTTGGGTGTCTTGACCCAACCCTAAGTCCAAAACCCTCCGAAGTGTCGAGTTTGGACGTGCATCCTGCGGCTGGGATTAGGGTTTAGGGTTCAGGGTGTATAGGCGTGTAGGGTTTAGGGTTTAGGGTTCGGGGTGTATAGGGTTTGGGGTTCGGGTTTAGGGTTGCGCGTTTGGGGTTGAGGCTTAGGGTTTAGAGTCTAGACTTTAGGGGGCTGGGAAGCTGCCAGACTCCTAAAGGCCAAACAAAAGCACCTTAAAGCCCCTCCAGCCCATACCTCACGAAAGGAGTGGAACTTGAACCACCCCTTCTCAGCCCCCCTAAGAAGAAACTAAATCCTGAAGCCTTGCATTTGTACGGGTACAGTACGTATTCCCTCCGTTCCGACAGGGTGTGCGATACCCTCTGGGCCGAGCGAGTGGCGAGCGGTTCTCTGCGGTTTCCGCCTATACCACGCTGACCGCTCTTTACAAAGGCATGGCGGCGGAGATGGTTACCTCTCAGAAACGAGTGCGCATGCTCATGACGCTGGGTCGGCATATTCGCGCAGGAAGATCTGCGCCCGCCGGAGGTAAAGCAAGATAACAGCTGGATGAAGGCCACGGTGTGCTCTACTCCTGTAGAGTACGAGCCCGACTCTTGGCTTCTTCACGAGTTGGTGCGCGAGACGGGGCACTGTCTTGAAGCTTTGACGCACTCGCCTCTGTGGAATGCCGACTCGGATGCTGGTGAGCCTTTGATGATTGGTTTTGGTGCATGTACCCTAAACACTGAACCCTAGGCCCTACACCCATGTAGGGTTTCGAGGTTTCGGGGTGGGGTGGGTGAAGGTTGGCACGCTCATTCTTATCGCAGGGGGCAATCCTGCAAAGGTGGTACCCCCAAACCCTAAGTAAGCCGGAAACTCCCAAAAGCCTACGCCTGCAGGAAGCAGGGGTATTACGCCAACTAAACCCTATAGACCCTAAACCCCAAACCCTAAACCCTAAACTCCCAACAGTCTATATACGGCTTTCGGAAGCAGGGGTATTCTGGCCGGGAACTGTCCAAGGGTTGACCCTGAAGTTGGAACCATGGGCCCTCATTATGGGTCCCTTACCCTTGCCAACAGGAATCCGAAGTATGTGCCCTTATTATGTATAACCCTAAACCCCAAACCCCAAACCTTAAACCCTAAACCCTAAACCCTAAACCCTAAAACCCTAAACCCTAAACCTTAAACCCTAAACCCGAATAGTGCATAGAAGGAAGGCTTATATAACAGGGGGCCCAAATCAGGGCCCAGACTTGGAACCCCAGATTTTTCAAAACCTACCTTAAACCCTAAACCCTAAACCCTAAACCCTAAATTGACAAGACCTACCTTTTTTGACTGCAGGCTCCGTCGATGCGATGCGGGCCTTGCTGCACATGTGCGTCGCTCGAAGGACTTCATCCGCAGCCCCCCACTATCTACCCAAAGGCTCCTATGTAGTCCCTTTTTGGGGTAGTATACTAAAATCCCCTATAACTAAACCAAAAAGGAACTACATTAGAGCCTTCAGGTAAGGTCGAAACTTGCTTAGTGTGCCGCTACAGATGGTCGAAATTTTTGCTTAGTGCCCCACTATCTCTAGGGTCTCATTTTGCTTAGGGTCCCACTGTCTAGGGTGCAAAAAAGAAACCCTAAAGCCAGCCCAGAGTAGGCCCTGAACCCTAAAACGAGGCCCTGAAACCTAAAGCCAGCCCAGGTAGGAACCCTAATGCCAGGCCAGAGTGGACGAGTAGGTCCTAAATCCTAAAGCCAGCGCAGAGTAGGCCCTGAACCCTAAAGCTAGCCCAGAGCAGGCCCTCTAGACCCTGAAGGCAGCTCAGAGTCGTAAAGCCAGCCCAGAGTGGGCCCTGAACCCTTTAGCCGGCCCAGAGTAGGCCTGACCTTGCCCAGTAAAGCGGCGACCCTGCCCAGTAAAACGGTGACCTTGCCCAGTAAGTCCCCAACATTTAAGTTTCATAGGCAAGAGAGGTTTAGGGTTTAGGGTTTAGGGCGTGTATAGGGCTTCGGGTTTTTGTTGCGACTGTGTAACTTCAAAGGTGTGCATCGAGCGCACCACGAACAAGGGGGCCACACCTCTTCTCATTGCTGCCGCTGAGTCAGCAACAAGAGGAAGCTCCGTTGTAGGGGTTTTAGGGTTTAGGGTTTAGGGTTTAGGGTTTAATTTAGGGGGCAAGGGATTTGGTTTAGATTTTTTCCGTTCAGCCAACGCTGTAACATGAATGTCGTGCCCTAAAGATTTGCTGAGGTCATGGCTGGTCGAAAGGAGCCTGTTTCCATCCTCCTTCAGGCGGGGGGGTGGGGAGACTGGGGGCCAAGGTTTAGGGTTTAGGGTCTCGGGTGTAGGGTTTCGGGTTGCGGGCCATTGAAACTAGGGTTTAGGGTGTAGGGTTTAGGGTTTAGGGTTGAGAGCAGGGCTTCGCAACCTTTAGCACTGTCCCCAAAAACTTGAAGGCAGACGTGCTCACGAAACTCGATGGCTGCAGCTCGTACCGGTTTTGAAAACGTGGAGTTCAACATCTACCCAAACCCAAACCCTGAACCCGAATTAAAGGCCCCCTCCCCTTCCCCGACATTTTTCCACGTCACTACGCGGGCCAGGCAAAGGCCAATGTCAACCATGAAAAAAGCGAGGCGTGGGCGGAAGGGTCCGAGGATCATAGGGATAGGGGCTCTAGGGTTTGGGTTCATTCTGTAGTACTGTAGAGAGACTTAGGGTTTAGGGTTTGGGGTTTACTCCTAAGCTCCTAAACGTCCTCAGCCCTCAACCCCTAAACCCTCAAACCCTAAACCTTGTGCTACTTTTAGGCTTCGGGTTTAGGATTACTCGTAAACTCCGAAAAGTCCTAAGCCCTAAACCCCTAAACCCTCAAACCCTAAACCCTGTGCTACTTGTAGGCTTCGGGTTTAGATTTAGAGTCTATAGGGCCCAGGTTGCCCAAACTCGGCACCTCCTCAAACACCCAATGCTTCCGACTGTCTGCCTGACCGAAAGTAGTCAGAATGCCTGAGATCTAAAAGCCCTGAACCCTAAACCCTAAACCCTAAACCCTAAACCCTAAACCCTAAATGGTTTGGGGGTTGAGGGGTTCAACCCCCCAAAAAACAAAGCGCAGCCCTCGTGAGATTCGACGCTTCAAGTGCCATTAAGTGGACTGAGGGCTCAGGGTTTAGGGTTCAAGTTTCAGGGTTTAGGGTTTAGGGTTGAGGGAACTTAGGGTTTAGGGTTTAGGGTTTAGGGTTTAGGGTTTAGGGTTTAGGGTTTGGATGGAGGTGCATTGGAGATGAAATCGGGGGAGTCGAGTGTCGGGTTCGATCCAAGTTGGGATTGTGAACAGCATTGGGCCTGCTATTGTGTTGTCCAGCTTGGGCATAGGGCATAGGGCTTACCGGCGTTTGAACGCACATGCTTTTGCAGCTGATTGGTTTGTGAATCGAGCAAGCGACCTAGCCTGGTAACTTTAAACCCAAACCCTAACTCCCAACCCCCAAAAACAAACTAAAGGCTAAACCCACAAACAGTCCCACTGAACCCTGAACCCTAAGTACCCTAAACCCTAAGTACCCCAAGTAGCCTCATTAGCCTAAGCAGCCTAAACCCTAACTACCCTGAACCTTAACTGTTTAGGGTTTAGGGTCGTTAGGCCCGAAGTACCCTAAACCCTAAGTAGCCAAAGTACACTAAGTACCCTAAGTACCCTAAGTAGCCTGATTAGCTTGAGTAACCTAACTAGCCTAAAGCCTCTAAACCCTAAGTACCCTAGACCTGGTTTATGGTTGAGGGCCTAGGGTTCCCTAATCTCAAGTTCCCTATAAACCCTAAACCGTAAACCCTAAACCCTGAAACCCTAAGTTCCCCAAACCGTAAACCCTGAACCCTAAGTTCCCTCAACCCTCAACCCTCAACCCTAAACCCGAAACCCCTCAACCCTAAACCCGAAACCCTAAACCCTATACCCTAAACCCTAAGTATCAAGCCCAAAGGGCTGGACTCCGCTCCTGCTGGCAGCATCGGCTGGCCGCTCCAAGATCACCTACGCCTGCCTGCAGGCCGAGTTGGGACCATCCCAGTCCCTGGGGAGGGTTTAGGATTAGGGTTTAGGGTTTAGGGTTTAGGGTTTAGGGTTTAGGGTTTAGGATTAGGGTTTAGGGTTCAGGGTTTAGGGTTTTAGGGTTTTAGGGTTTAGGGTCAACTTGGGTACGCAAGAGAGGGCACCCTTTTGAATCCAAGAATCCAAGGTTGCTGGGCCACTTAGCAAGGGGATCAAGCAGAGTACCATAATTTCGAAGCCTCCAAGACATCAAGGGGCGGTTTGGGGTTCAGGGTTTAGGGTTTGGGGTTCAGGGTTTAGGGTTTAAGGTTTAGGGAATTCTTGTGGAGTTTAGGCCTGAACGGCTACCAAGTTGGGATGGAGTTGTTGTTGTTGTTGTTGTTGTTGTTGTTGTTGTTGTTGTTGTTGTTGTTGTTGTTGTTGTTGTTGTTGTTGTTGTTGTTGTTGTTGTTGTTGTTGACGCAGGGTTTGAGGTCTTCGTTTCCTCAACCCTGTATATTTGGGCGACCTTTAGGGAGTAGCCTATTGCGTGGGGTTAGATTTTCGGGTTCAGGATTTAGGGTGTGGGGCGTGGGGGGGGGGGTGGAGGGGAGGGGGGCTTGTCGCATTCAGAGGTGACGAACGCCTAAGCCCTAATCTCTATGGGCACATGCAGTTTTGTGATGCTAGTCGGTGTATGACTGTATTTGCGTACTTTGTTAGATTCTGATTGGCATGCACCCTAAACCCTGAACCCTAAACCCTAAACCCTAAACCCTAAACCCCCAGTAGCAGATTACTATGATGGTGCACCTTGACCAAGCCTCTTCCGCATGGAGAGGCAAGAGCCGACGTGAATCATGCCAACAGCACCCCAGCCGCGCTACGAAAGCTCGTACCGGCCCGTTTTGGGGTTTGGGGTTTGGGGTTTAGGGTTTAGGGGTTCAGGGCTAGGGTTTAGGGTTTAGGGTTTGGGGTTTGGGGTTTGGGGTTTAGGGTTTGGGGTTTGGGGTTTAGGGTTTAGGGTTTAGGGTTTGGGTGGTGGGATTCCCGACTGTACATGTATGAGCCTCCAAAAGCGGCCGATGAGTTCAGGAACCTACATCCCCAATTCCTCACTCAGAACCCCTAAACCCTAAACCCTAAACCCTAAACCCTAAACCCTAAACCCTAAACCCGAAAACCCTAAACCCTAAACCCTAAGCTCGACAAAGCTGTGAGTCCACCGAAGAACCCCCTAAACCCGAGACCAGAAGCCCTAAACCCTAAACCCTATGAACCCTAAACTGGCCCGCAGCCCTTAAAAGTGCAGAGCATTCTGAGGTTTAGGGTTTAGGGTTTAGGGTTTAGGGTTTAGGGTTTAGGCTTTAGGGTTTAGGGTTTAGGGTTTACATTTTCGGCACTTATAGTTGTTTTTGCGTGCTGGACTTTTCTGTATCGGCCCCGGAGACGTTTTGGTCCAGGATTTAGGCTTCACGGTTCAGGGTTTAGGGTTTTGGGCTTTAGGGTTCAGGGTTTAGGTTTGGGAGCCTCAGCTAGCCACGTCAAGCCAAATAAACCTAAAACCCAAAGGCCCCAGAATCCTACACCCCACACCTTAAACCACAAACCCTAAACTCTGCAGCCCACAACCCGAAACCCTAGACCTCAAACCCTAAAAACCTTTAGAGCACGGCAAAGAAAGAGAGAAAGACTGGTAGGCGAACTGTCCGGGAAACATAATGTGCCCAAAGGTCAGCCGCACGCTTCAGCAGCCTGAATTTAGGCTTAGGGGGTTTCCTTGGGATTGTTCAGGGTTTACAGCTTAGGGTTCGGGTTTAGGGTAGGGTTTAGGGTTTAGGGTTTAGGGTTTAGGGTTTAGGGTTTAGGGTTTAGGGTTTAGGGTTTAGGGTTTAGGGTTTAGGGTTTAGGGTTTAGGGTTTAGGGCTATTGCTCAAACAGGGCCTCTAGCCTCAAACCCTTGAACCGTAGAGCCTTCTGAGGTAAAGGCTTCCAAGCGCTCCACCTGGCAGTGGTGCATGGCTACCCGCAGGTCGCGACTCCTGCACCCCCAACCCTCTTAAAGTTGGGTTTTGGGTTTTGGGTTTTGGGTTTGGGGTTTAGGGCTTAGGGTTTAGGGTTTAGGGTTTAGGGTTTAGCTTGGTCCTGCCTACACTGGACACCCCGACATCGAAAATTGCTCCTGTGAAGAAGCACTGGGCACTCTGGTACTTGGAGGGGCAGGGGACTTAGTAAGCAGGTTGTAAGTAGAGTTATAAGAGCCCTCAATGGAGTTACCCCAAGTATAACCCTACTCATAACCCACTTACTAAGTCCCCTGCCCCTCCAAGTAGTGCTCTTTTTCGGGTTCAAGGCGTGGTTACCGTCTCCCCCTCGCCGATGCTCAGGCCCTCAACTCTGACATTCTTAAATTTCTGAGACCTCCCCTAAACCCTATATCCTAAATCCTCAACCCTAAACCCTCAACCCTCAACCCTCAACCCTAAACCCTAAACCCTAAACCCTAAACCCTAAACCCTAAACCCTAAACCCTAAACCCTAAACCCTAAACCCTAAACCCTAAACCCTAAACCCTAAACCAATGCCTGAAACCTCAAAACTTGGACTCAGGGCTTGGTGTTAAGTGCCATTTTTCGGTTGACACCAACGGGCTGGTTCTTGGAAATGGCTACTATTCTCGACACACCCAAAATAAGCACATATTATTCTTCCTGCTAAGGGCAATGTAGGACTTTTTTTTCGGGGGGGGGGGGGGGGGGTAAACCCTAGACCCTAAACCCTAAACCCCCTAAACCCTAAACCCTCAGATTATCGTAGACCCCTCCTCCTGGGCAGGGACTCCCCTACATGTGACTGTGGATTTTCGGGAAAGTCACTGGGGAACCGCACCCCGCACATGAGCAAAGGTGCGCAGTCCGAAAACCGTGGAGGAAACATCTGAACTCGCTCCTTCTGAAGCCCTAAACCCTAAACCCTAAACCCTAAACCCTAAACCCTAAACCCTAAACCCTAAACCCTAAACCCTAAACCCTAAACCCTAAACCCTAAACCCTAAACCCTAGCCCTAAACCCTAAACCCCAAACCCCTGCCCCACTGCCCTCCCCAGGTGGCGATGCTGCTGCTCCAGCACAGAGCAGACAAGGACCTTCCAGTAGCAACTCCTGGGGCTTTAGGGTTTAGGGTTTAGGGTTTAGGGTTTAGGGTTTAGGGTTTAGGGTTTAGGGTTTAGGGTTTAGGGTTTAGGGTTTAGGACCTTCCAGTAACTTGCAATCCAAGGGCTGTAGGGTTTTTGAGGGTTCAGGGTTTTGGGGTTTACGGTTTTAGGATTTTAGGGTTTTAGGGTTTAGGGTTTTTGGGTTTAGGGTTTAATTAGGGGTTTAAGGGTTTAGGGTTCAAGGGTTTAAGGGCATGGGGTTTCGGACCTTCAGAAGCTTGCAAGCCAAGGGCTGTAGGGTTTTTAGGGGCTTTTAGGGTTTTCAGGTGTTTTTAGAGCCTCTAAATTAGAGGTTTTTAGGGTTACATTAGGAGTGATTCGGGGTTGCTAGGGGTCATTGGGGGGTTGTTAGGGGTTATTCGGGGTTATTGGGGGGGGGGGGGGGGGGTATTATTAGCGGTTTCTGGGGCTTTAAGGGCTGAGCCCCAGTGTGTGTTGGGGTTTAGGTTCTATTCTAGGTATTTTCCCTAAACCCTAAACCCAAAACCCTAACCCTTAATTTGGTCCCTTACCCTCTTTAAGGGGTATAGGGTTTAGGGTTTAGGGTGGGTTCTGAAGTATGGGCCCTGGGGTTTTATAGGGTATATCATGGGCATATACGGGGTCCCCCTTACAAGGGCCCATGCTAGCTTCGCCAAAAGGGCAGAGAACACAGTAAGCTTTCCTTCAGAGCCCTGAACTCCAAAATCCTACTATTCTAGACGTCCCCTAAATCCTAACCCGAACTCCCAGTGGGCCCTTGTCTCAGTCTGTGGCAGTCCGCAGTGCTTCATACACGCGATTATTGACCATGGCCCCTCGGGGACGTGCTAACGGATGATAGTGACCCTGAGCTCGCCCTAAGCCCCGAACCCCAAACCCGAACGCCAAACCCTAAATCTTAAACCCCAAACCCTAAACCCCAAACCCTAAACCCTAAAGCCTAAACCCGAAACCCTAAACCTTCAACCCTCAGCTGAGGCCATTTATTGAATGCTTGTTTGGGCTTTGGCACGGCTTACAGTTTATAGGGCTTGCCGCTTTTTCAGGGTTCAACCCTAAACCCTAAACCCTAAACCCTAAACCCTAAACCCTAAACCCTAAACCCTAAACCCTAAACCCTAAACCCTAAACCCCCTATATACAGCTAACCCGACACCCGACACTTCGGAGGACGCGGTGTGCCCTGCTGGAACTGCCTTGTCTATGGCGTCGGCGCGGGGATTTCTCAAGGCCGTCGCGGGGAAACGGGGGGGGGGGGGAAGTCAGCGTGCAGGTTTTAGGGTTAAGGGTTGCCTAAAGCTTGTAACCGCTAAACCCTAACACCCTAACACCCTAGCACCTTAACACCCTAACCCTAAACCCTAGTCCCTAAACCCGAAACCCTAGCACCCGATGCCCTAAACCCAAAACCCAAAACCCTAAACCCTAAACCCTAAACCTATATTTGCTTTCTATTGGTAGTTGAACCCTGAATCGATACAGGCCATCCAGGTGCTGGTCCAGGCCCGGGCGAACGTGGACCTCCCTCGCAAGGCCCATGCTCGGCTCCGCTATAGGGTTTAGGGTTTAGGGTTTAGGGTTTAGGGTTTAGGGTTTAGGGTTTAGGGTTTAGGGTGGTTTCAAGGTATCTTACTTGGGTGCTAGGGTTGACTTCAATTTTCAAGTTTCGGTGCATTTGGGATTCAGGGTTTAGGGTTTTAGGGGTCGCAAGCTCAGAGCGCTCTGCCGAAAAGGACCCTTGGAAGCGGGAGATCCGGCATCGTACTGCAATACGGAGCCTCTATATGAAACCAACGAGAGACCGTATTTCAGCCTGAGTCGGTACATGTAACTTTGTTGGCTACAAAAATCCAAAAGCCCAAAGGCTAAACTTTGTTACCCATGAAAGACTCAACTCTAAACCCTACACCCTAAACCCCTACAGCCAGCGTCTTGCTTGCCCATGGAGGTGGTGTCATCAGAACTCGCCCTTGACACACGCTATCACGCAGACCCCAAATAAGGGCAACCAGGCTCCGTCCCGTGGTCCTCCCAAGGGTTGAGGGTTGGGGGTTTAGGGGGTAGGGTTCAGGGTTTAGGGTTTAGGGTTTAGGGTTTAGGGTTTCGTGTTTAGGGTTTAGGGTTTAGGGTTTAGGGTTACCGGTGTAGGGTTTAGGGTTTAGGGTTTAGGATTTAGGGTTTAGGGTTTAGGGTTTAGGGTTTAGGGTTTAGGGTTTAGGATTTAGGGTTTAGGGTTTAGGGTACACCCTAAACCCTCAACCCTAAACCCGAAGCCCTGACTCTTCCTTTTTCGCTTGAGGATGGGCGGACGGCGCTCCACTGCGCCACCGAGTCGCCTCCCTGAAACGTTTAGGGTTTTAGGGTTTAGGGTGTTGGGTTTTAGGGTTCAGGGTTTAGGGTTGAATTAAGGTTTAGGGTTTAAGGTTTAGGGTTCAAGGGCTCGCATTGCGCTCAAGGGGTTCAAGGTCACGTCCTTAGGGGCTTGTCAAGTGTTTCGGGTCGAGCCTGTACTGCCTCAATCCCTACCCGGCCACGGCCCTCTCAGGAAGAACCATGTGCACGCCGTGCAGCTGCTGCTGGAGGCTGCCGCAGACCCTGACCGGCGCCTTGGCCGCGGTTCAGGGGGGGCTCTAAACCCCAACAGCCGAAACCCTAAGCCCTAACTAGGCCCTCTACCCTAAAACCCTAAGACCCTCCTAAACCCTAAGCCCTAAACCCTGAAGACCACACTCCACGACCCTGTGAGCACTCCCAGGGCAGGCGAAGACGGCTTCACCCCGCTGCACATCGCGGCGATGAGGCAGGAGTTTATCTTTTTTCTGCGGTTTAGGGTTTAGGGTTTAGGGTTCACGACTGAGGGTTTAGGGTTTTGGGTTTAGGGTTCAGGAGTGAGGGTCTAGGTTTATGGTTTCGGAGTTCCATAGAGCCTATATAGTTCTTCTGCGGTTTGCAGGCACTATGGGTCCTACAGTGCTTGTTAGCGGTCCTATAGAAGGCTTTTAAAAGGCGTTTATCGCCTTGATGCGCTTTATCGTGACCCTCAACCCCAAACTCGAAACCCTAAAGCCTAAACCATAAACCAGGGGCTACGTTGAGAGCTGCCGCCTCATGCAGCGGGCAGTGCCACGCAAGCCGGCCAAAGGCACTCGCTGAGCGCCGCGTGCTCAGGAAGTTCTACACACCCAACCTTTTTAAGTGTTTAGGGTTTAGGGTTGGGATGCTCCCCCTATACTAACAAGCCCGTAATAGGGACGACAAGAGGGGGACTGCTGGTATAAGGGGGAACATCCCTAAAGCCTTAAACCCTGAAGCTTGTAAAGGTTTAACGCTCAGGGTTTTTGGGTTTAGGGTTAGGGATTGGGGTGGAGCTGAAAGTGCTACACAGAAGAAACCCGCCCCAGAGAAAGTCTTGGTTCTGGTGGTGAAGGTTCCCCAGTCACGCATAGAATCCTCAGCTCACATATTCTTGGCATCTCGGGTACCACTAACCATACTCCCGCCCCGCCCCAAATGGCATGCACCTTGTCAAAGCAACCCGGAAAAGCGCACGGTACTATTTTGCGAATCTCAAACCCAAAGCCCATGTTCATAGTGGCAGCGCCACGCCGTAGGCTCTCGCTGTGAATGGAGGCACAACACCCCTCAACGAATCCACAATGAAGGTTAGGAACAACCTTGTAAACCCCGGAACCCAACACCGATCCTCGGAGCCGAAACCTCTAGCAAGGGTGTATAGAGGCACCCTAAACCCTAAACCCTAAACCCTAAACCCTAAACCCTAAACCCTAAACCCTAAACCCTAAACCCTAAACCCTAAACCCTAAACCCTAAACCCTAAACCCCAAACCCCAAACCCTAAACCCTAAACCCTAACCCTAAACCCCAAACCCTAAACTGGTCAGTGCAGAAGGCGATATGGGTTATGGCCGCCAAGGCGTGCAGCAGCTGCTGCCAGGGCTTCACGGAAAACGGGCCGAAGAACCTTAAACCCGAACCAAAGCTTTCAATGTTTAGGTTTTAGGGTTTAGGGTTTGGGGTTGGGGTTTGGGGTTTGGGGTTTGGGGTTTGGGGTTTGGGGTTTGGGGTTTGGGGTTTGGGGTTTGGGTTTGAGGATTTTCGAGGGTCCGTTTGCAGTACCATTAGGTACCCGACAACCCTACTTAGTATGGTTTCCTAGTACCAAATTCCATGAGAGGACTACACACGAACTCTCAGAGAAGCTTTAAGATGTTGCGGGTCAACACCTTTCACTTAAGCCCCCATATCTGGATCCCGAAACCCCAACTCCAACCCTAGCAGACCTTGAATCGCCACCCTCTACACTTGCCGCAGTGCCGACATGGACTAGATGTAACTTCCCCCCCGAGTGCTTGATTCTGAACCCTGAACCCTAAACCCTAAAGCCTAAACCCTGAATCACAAACCAAGCCCCACCTGAAGACTAATGAGTGGAGACCAGTTTAGGGTTCAATAAGAGCTGCTTGAGAAGATTGAAGGTACCATGCAGAAGATTAGGGCTTTGGGGTTTTGGGTTTAGGGTTCAGGGCTCACAGTGCGTCACTGCCGTGTTCGGGGGTTTGGAGTTTAGGGTTTAAGGCCAGCTTAATCCGAGATGAGTGCTGCACTTGTGGCCACGCTGCTTCTCCAGCTTCACCCAACATAGGTAGGTTGCGGTAGTTGCTTGAAGCTGATTCCCCAGCCCATCAGCACACTGCAAGCCTGAATTCTCCCCAACCTCATGAACCCCAACTTCAAGACAGTTGAAACGCCCTTAGATTGCAGAGAGTACTTTGTTCAGGGCGTGCCTGGTGTCGTCCAGACCCTTCTGATTCTTGGGCTTGCTAGCCCAATGGTGCCCGTTTGCCCGTGTTTTTTCCTAGGCTCCCTTTTAAAGCAACCCACCCCTGAAGATAAAAGGCACCCTTAGTCTAATGACTACCAAGTCTGTGCTCATCACCAAAAACGGAGCGTAGTTTCAAGAACAGACCATCGACATCGGACACCAAGAAGACACAAAGTTGAGAAGCCATGGCTGCGCCAGGCGGGGCCGTTTGCAGTCGGGCTTGGGGTTTAGGGGTTAGGGGTCTAGGGTTTAGGGTTTAGGTTTAGGGTTTAGGGTTTAGGGTTTAGGGTTCAGGGCCACATCACGAGGTTTCAGGGGCCCCGGGCTTCAGCAGAGGGTGTGCCCTCACTTGTGGCAGCTGCAGGGTTCGCAGCCTGAGAAGTATTCGGCATCCGCTTAGAGCCTCCTCCTGAGTTCCGGGTAGCAATGTGGAATAAGGCACAGAGGGTTTATCGCTCTAAACCCTAAACCCTAAACCCTAAACCCTAAACCCTAAACCCTAAACCCCACACCCTAAACCCTAAACCTCAAGCCGAAGGGCGGCCTAACAAGATCCACCTTAAGTGGGGTTTTTGAGGGGTTCATGGCGCTGAGGTTCCCTCAAGCCCTATGCTCCCCGTATCTAAGGCTATATCCCCCTTGGTGATTTTCCTTATTTTGTTCATTTAAAACCCAAGAGGATATTAACATATTTGTTTTTTTTAATGAAGGTTCTAAGGGGAGTATAGAAGCGTGGTTTCATGAGCCCTTAATGTGGCTTCGGGTTGAGGGGCTTAGGGCTTATGAGTTCCTAAACGCCCTAAACCCCAACCCCTAGTATATTTACGCCCTACTTTCTTAGCCACCAGTTGAACTTTGGACTTTCTGGGTTTCCCTCACTTAGTCGGAATCTTAACAGCTTAACCTTATCTGTTCCTTCCTTCTTAGGGGAAAGAAGCCTATAACCCCTTACCTACTTAGCCCATAGTCGAACTTTGAACTTTTTCGGGGTTTCCTTATTTCGTAGCAAAAACGAAGCTCAACCTTCTTTATTCCTTGACCATTTGGAGCAGCAAGCCTAATATAGGGGCCTAAAAAAATGAGAACCGGGTTTTTAAATTAAAGTATAGTCATAAAAGGGGCCCTATAGGGAACCCGAGTAGGAATTTATCCCGACCCCTTTGTTCTTCACCCCAGCCACAGCAGGCGACCGGGACGACTTGTTCGGGGAGTTGGGCTTCAACGGATACTTGCAGCCGCCCGACCTTGACTCGAGCCGGTTTAGGGTTTAGGGTTTAGGGTTTAGGGTTTAGGGTTTAGGGTTTAGGGTTACACAAGCTACCTCGGGGCTTGGGGGCCTTAGGGATTTCAGGCTCTAGGGTTTAGGGTTTAGGGCTACTTTGGGGGGGATATTATAGTATAATTGTTACAAAGGGGCCATAAGGGAATACTAGTAGACATTTATTCAGACCCCTATATTGCCAGAGAACGGGTGTGTCGGCGACGGTGCGGGGCAGGCAGGGCCAAAAGGCGTTGACGCTGAGCGGTCCGCCGGAACAGCTCAACGAAGCCAAAAGGATGCCCTAAACCCTAAACCCTAAACCCTAAACCCTAAACCCTAAACCCTAAACCCTAAACCCGATGGCCATGGCCATCCTCACTGACATCATGGCTCTGCCCCTTCCACAGCCTCTGCCAGAGACGCCGAACGGCAAATACCAGCAACGCCTGCAGAGGGAGTGGCAACATGGAGCACAGGTGGCGCACGAGGGTGCTCTGATCCAGGGGGAGAGCAGGGGTTTAGGGTTTGGGGCTTGGGGTTTGGGGTTTGGGGTTTGGGGTTTGGGGTTTGGGTGTGGCGTTCAGAGTACTCGTCCGAGGCGCTTTGTCTCGACTTGACCGGATCGCATTTCAGGGCTTCGATGCGTGGTTTAAATCGTAGTTTTTTTGAGTTTTCAGCGCTTAGGGATAGTATGGTATGTGGGGTCAGAACGTTGACAACTCCCAACCATACCTGGTAAACCTAGGGAAAGAAACAAGAATCCCTGAACATTTACGCCCAAAGACCTAAACCCTAAACCTTTAAACCCTTGAAACCTTAAACCCTTAAACCAGAGATCCTAAAACCCTAAACCCTTTAACCCTTAGAGCCCTCAACCCGAAACCCTTGAAGCCCTCAACAATGAAGAGGAGGGTTTAAGGTTTACTAAACCCTAAACCCTAAACCCTAAGCCCTAAATTAGGGTTTAGTGTTGAGGGACCCTGCTGTCCTGAAATCCTCAGAGCCCCTAAACCCCTCCCTCCTCCCCTCACACCCTCAAACACCCAAGGCCCCTAAACCCTAAACCTTAAACCCTAAACCCTATACCCTATAAACCCTAAACCTAAACCCTAAACCCTAAACCCTAAACCCTAAACCCTAAACCCTAAACCCTAAACCCTAAACCCTAAACCCTAAACCCTAAACCCAACCCCCCCCCCCTCCCCAAAAAAACAAAAGAGTCTTAGGAACCCTAAACCCCTAACCCCTAAACCGCTGGCTTAGGACGTTTGTGCATCGGAAGCTCCACATGATCGCGGAGCGGTTTACTCCGGAAAAGCTTCTGGAGCTAGGCGAACGGCTCCTTTTGTTCTTTGCTCTAGAAGGGTAGATTCATGGGCCTAGGGTTTAGGGTTTAGGGGTTAGGGTTTTTTTGTTTAGGGTTTAGGGGTAGTTTCATGGGCACTTAATATGGTGCCTGGCCTCCCTGGACTGCATTATACAGGGTTCTGACGTATGGGCGCTTGGGTTGTGTAGGGTCTATAAGGACCGGGGAAAAAAAAGAGGTCCCCTTTTAAGGGCCCATATTAAGAGATCATGCAACTACCCTAAGATTCGCACGAGGATTCTAGGGAGGCCCTAAACCCGAAGCCCTAAACCCGAAACCCTAAACGCAAAACCCTAAACCCTAAACCCTTATATGTTCCCTTCTGTGTTTTAGAGGATCACATTCTCAAAGGACTAGAGGAGGGGGGTTATTTGGGGTCTATTTCGGGGAAAAACCCTCAAACCCTAAAACCCTCAGACCCTGAAGCCCTAAAACCTAAAACCCTAAAAACCTAAAGCGCTACAACCCTACACCCCTGAAACCCTAAAGCCCTAAAACCCTAAACCCTCAAACCCTATAAACCAAAGAAAACCAATACGTACCCCAAAACCCTAAAACCAAACCCTACACCCTAAACCCTAGAACCCTAAAACAATATAACCGCAAGCCCTACAACCCTAAAACCCTCAATCCCTAAAGCCCTAAAGCCCCGAAACCCTAGACCCTAAACCCTAAACCCTAAA